GCCCTTCTCTTGAGAGTTCCACTACTGGAAGGGTCTTTGTTCAACAGCTTCATTTAACAGAAGGTAATGCTGAGGACCAGAGAGGGCAAGAGACTGGCCCAAGGTCACACAGCTGAGCCAGGCAAAAAGGGCCTGACTCCTGACAGTAACACAGGGGAGAGGCCCAGTAGCCTTTCCCCTGTATCCCTGCTACCTCCCACCTCTGTGTCAGAGCCATTCCTGCTGGGAGAGGCAGGTAGAGTGTCCCATCTGCTGAGCTTCCTTCTCTTCTGTTGTTCATTCTTCCTTCATTCATTTCCTGGGTGACCTCGCCGTGCCCTGCATGGGAATCCAAGGTGACTAAAGCATGTTGCTTCCCCGAGAGGCACTCGCAGTGCAGTGGTCTGGGAGCATCTGGCTTCTACCACTAACAAAGGCATTTTCTCTTACTGGTAGAGAAATGCTCTGAGGCTTTTTTTTTTTTTTTAATGCACTGTTTTGTTTGCTGCTGTCTTAATTGTTGCCATGTTATATTTTATCAGTGTAATGTTCTAATTTTGTGCTTGGGCCCTGAGGCAATTCAGTGAAGGGTATGATTTGGAAAATGAGGGAAATAAAAAAATTGTCCACAGAAGAGGCAGCCTCCCAGGAGCCGAGGACAAAGCATAAGTGCGGACAATGAATTTTATTAGGAGCAAAACGAAAACAAACAACCTGTTGCCAGACAGAAGGTATTAGACCATCCTGGTGCGGCTTTGTTTTCGTTCTTTAATTTAATTCCATTTCTGCATTTCTTCCAGGGTCAGCCAAGGATGCACAGTCTAGTTCCTTCCCCACTGCCTTCCACAGCCTTCCACACTACTGCCTCCAGGCCTAGACTCAGTGAGCTCCTTGCCTGCCCTGCCCTCCCTTCTTCTTCAGGAGAGGTCTGTAACCATTCCTGCCCTTGCCAATACTTATTAAGTGCCTGCTGTGTGCAGGCACTGTGCAAAATGTTGGAAATAATGCAACCAACAAGGCAAAGGTAAGTCTGCCTTCAGGGAGTTTACATTCTACTAAGGCATGCATTCTCAAGTGGGGCCTTGATGCCCTCAAGGAAATGAAAACTGGTTCCTGGAGGTGTTGGTGGAAAAAAATCTTAGATCTCACAATGATTTGTATGCTCACCATGTATATTCATCACCCATCCAGCCAGCCAAGCGGAAACCTGGGTGTCACCACCAGTTCCAGCTCCCAGCCCTCTCTGATCTCAGGGCTCCCAACCTCATAAGGCCTGGCCCATGAAGGGTTCCACTCTCTCCCTGCAAACACCCCATCTGCCCTGCTTCCCTCACTACCCAGCCTAGATCCCAGGACCCAGAATTTTAGCATCTCTTTGCCAACACTTTAGACCCCTGTGCCGTTTTTTCCCTACCCATCTGGCAAAGCCCTAGGCCTGGATAAATCCCACTGTGTACATACATCCTCCCAGCCTGCAGCTGGGTAGGTGAGCCCTGATGGAGGATTTCACTCAGCAGGACAGGATGAGACACACATACACTAAGGACCACCAACCTCAACTGGGGAGCCAAGACTGTCAGGCAATTGGGGATTTCGTGGGCAAGTTGCTTCTCAACACTCTGAATGATCATTCTCCTTCTTTCAAACTCCTCACCACCTCTTCTTCACTCTCAGCAGAAGACCTTGCCTCCCACTTTGCAGAAAAAATAGAAGCTCAAAATGAAATCTCCCTTAACATCCCACTATAAACCTACATCTACATCTGCACCCATCCTCTCTTTGTTCCTGCTTTTGGGTTCTAGAGAACTCATCCCTCCTCCTCCCCAAGACCAACCCCCCCCACCCACATGCCTGATCCCAGCCCCTCGCACATGCTTGAGAGAACTTTACTCACTGATTATCTCCCCTATTTCTTACACTCTTGATTAACCTCGCTCTCCTGGATCTGCCATTCACTTTTAAACAAATCTCAGGTTTCTTCTACTTTAAAACACACCTCCCCTAACATACATATTGGACCTATCACTTTATCTTTCTTGTCCTTTTTACACAAAATCATCTCAAAAGACCCACTGCCTCCCTCATCCCTCCTGCACTCATCAGACCACTGCCATCTGACCCCCTCCATCATGCCACACATAAATAGCCCTCCCTAAGGCCCCAACAGTCTCCACGCCTGTCCATAAACCAAAGCCCAGGGCTGCACCCTCCTCCTATCTGACCCCTCAGAGCATTTCCCTCCATCAAGTCTTCACAGCGTCCTAAAATGTCTCCCTTGGCCACCTTCCACAAGCCCACTCTCCTGGGCTTTCTCCAGCCTGTCCAGCCACTCCTGATCAGCTTTTGCAGGAGATCCTTGTGTACACAGCCCTAATCTGTAGATGTACCTCAAACCTTCGTCCTGGGCCATCTCTCTTCTCTCTCCACATTCTTTGCCCTGGGCAAGCTTCTTCTCATCCACAGCCGCAGTTATCATCTCTCTATCGACAACTTCTCATCTTCATCTCTAGCCCAGACCTCCACGCCACGTCCAAACCCAGGTTTCCAAGAACCTTCTCAACATCTGCACATGGTGACTGTAAGGCATTTCAAGCTCAAGATGTCTAATGTAGAATATATACTTTCACCTCTCTGTCCACATCCTCCTCTCCTCAATCAAACCACCCCCGTCTCAATCCTCTTCCAGTTTTTTCTATCTCAGTGAAAGATACTGCCTACTTGTTTGCACGGAAACCTCAAGGTCCATTCTGACATTGCCTCTTCCTTCCCCTCACATTCCAACACACCTCTGTGACAACTTTAGTTCCTGATTAACTCTGGGAACCTTCCACTGCTCTCCAACTCCACTGCCACCAGCCCCGCCCCGCCCCCCCACCCCCTCCCCCACCACTTCACCCCCTCCCCTGCCCCCAATACACATACTGTCTTCTCCCTGGATGCCTGCCTGCACTCCTAACCCTGGCTTGTCTTCCCAAATCTACTCATACCCACCAGACACACTCCACTCTCCACTGGGCAGGCACACAGGTCACAGTAAAATTCAGATTTCATCCTGTACCTCTTGGGCTTATACCGTCAGTGGCTTCCAATGGCTCTTAGGATGGAGAAAAAAAAACCTGATGTGCCCAATCCTTCACATGGAGTCTGCCCTCTGCCCACCTTCTACACTCCCCAGTCCCCCTGCTCTCCCTCTGGGCCATGCTACAAAGGCCTTTTCTTGTCTATTCTCTCAGCTGTAACTTCTGCCCTAGGCCCTTTGCACAGGTTCTTCCCACTGCTCAGGTTTCTTCTCCCCGACTCTCCCTTACACATAGTTCTGGTTTCCTTATAACCATCAATTTCTCAGGGAAACCTTCTCTAACTCCCAAGAAAAAAATAGATCCCTCCTTCCTGTTAAATGCTTTCACAATAATAGCACACACGCACACACAGAGCGCTATTGTTCAGAGCTCCTCCAAGCATTTTTGCTGAGAATTCATTTACTCCTTATGACAACCCAATGTGGTAGAAATTCTAATTATCTCCATTGTACAGATAAAGAAACTGAGTCACAGCAAAGTTATGTAACTTGCCCAAAGTCACCTAATGAGGCAAAGCCAGAATTTGAACCCAGGCAGTGTGACTCCAGTGCAGCTTTTAAACACTATATTATTACATAAGAAAACACTATCTTTTTCCTTCTGGCACTTACCCGCTGTTTGTAACACTGTATTGTATGACTATTAGTCTCCTCCATTAGACTGTAAGCTCTATAGAAGTAGAGACTATTTCATCCCCAATGGTAGGTGCTCAATAAATATTTGCTCAAGAAAATCGGAAATGTTGAATGTGTACAGACACATAACATTTTCCATTCAAGTTCAAGACAAACATAAGCACATACCTGGACTTCCTAGGGTTAGGGACTCCTGCACTGGTAAGAAACATGCTGCCATCAGATTCTCAATGGGTCCATGAAGTTAAGAACAGTTGACTCTAACATTCTCCAGCCTACCTCACCTTTTCCCTGCCAACCTTCCCTCAACAACTACAACAGCCTCACATTTAGTATTAATAGTATGTGCTTTGGTTTTAGCAATCTTTTAAAAACACAAAACAAGGTCAACCTCCTTTGAAAAGCCAGTCAGAGACTATCTAATGCCCTCAGAGCAAAGTCCAAACTCCGTTCGGGGTGGGGGTGTGGCAGACCTTGCCTACTTCTTCATCCTCATGGGCCCTCATTTGTTCCCTCTTCCCCACCCCACCCCACCCCACCTCGACAGCCCAGCAGCGCACACTGGGAGTTCTGGGTTTAGGGTTCCCAGGCAATAGCAGGGTGTTTTCTCATGCCTAGACTCAAGCAGTGCCCTCTGCCAGTCCTCTCCTTTGCACCCAGCAATTTCAGGTGTCTTTATGCCTCAGCTTAGATATCTCTTTGGGGTTTGGTGCCCCTCCTTGGGGCGCCCATAGGCCGCATCTGTCGCTGACAATGCACACCAGATATTGAACTATAGTTGCTTGGTTACGGACAGTCGTCTCTGTGAGCTTTGAGGGCAACCGCCATGTATTATGCATCTTCTGAATCCCCCTAGCCTAGCCCGGTGCTAGCCCAAGTTACAGTGCTTACTACAGATTTGTTTAATTAGCGAATGACTGAATGAATAACCTGACAACTCGTGTCTGGTTCATGGGCACCAAAAACCGTGTGAAATGGATAAACGAGCAGATAATGGCAGTACGAAGTTCGGATCTAGAGAAAGATCCAGATTAGGGAGTTCAGAGACGAGTAAAACGCAGACCCAGCCATCAGAGAATTAACAAGGAAGACAAATCTCTTCAAGGAGCCAGCCGGAAAGATTAAAAGAGTCATCCATGTCACGGCCGGGCCTGGGGGCGGGTCCCTGTCTAGCCCCGCCTGCTCAGCGCCAATGGGCGGTCTTGTTGCCCACGAGTCTCCGCCCCTTTCGCTTTGAGGGGCGGGGCCGGCCACTCCTGGAGAGGAGACTACGTTTCCCGGCGCGCCGCGCGGCCGGAGCCAAAGAGGAGCCGGAAGTGGGGCGCGCGAGGTCTTAGGGCGCGAGGGAAGTGGCAGGCGGGGACTAAGGCGGGGCGTGCAGGTAGCCGGCCGGCCGGGGGTCGCGGGCATGGCCGAGGCCAGGAAGCGGCGGGAGCTACTTCCCCTGATCTACCACCATCTGCTGCGGGCTGGCTATGTGCGTGCGGCGCGGGAAGTGAAGGAGCAGAGCGGCCAGGTAAGCGTTCGTGGGCCGTGTGCGAGGGCCGCGTGCAAGATGTGGATATTAGAGGCCCGCGCCCCGTCCCCAGGCGACCCGGTGGGCGCCGGGAGCCGGGTCCCGCAGTGCTCGACTGCGCGGGCCAGGGGTACGAGAGGAGCCGCAATCTCTGCCTCCCCACTGCGACTTCAGTTCCCCTGGGCCTCACTTTCCTCATCTGTGCAGTGGGTTGGGCCAGAAAGTGTGCTCGCTGGGGCCGAACTTTGTAATTCCCGCGTCCCTTACCTCCACCCCCTTCCTGGTAGCGGGTGTTTTAAGTTTCCCAAGTCTCTCGCCACGTGGCTAGGCGCAGCGCGGCCCCCCTGGGACGAGGAGGTTGCTGCGAGTCTCGGGAGTGGATTGCAACCAGCCCCTCGGGGGAGCGCCTGGAGAAGGGACCCCACAGCCCCTTAGTTGAGCTGGAACTCAGGCCTTTAGCGATTGCCTGTACTGAGACGAACAGCTTTGGGAGTCGAACTCGTGGTACAGTCATTTCTTACTTGGTTGATTAATCCGGTACTCGGGGCGCTTCCTGGTGTTCGAATGGTGTTTGGTTCATGGGCACCAAAAACCGTGTGAAATGGATAAACGAGCAGTACGAAGTGATGGTGAGCACTGTCTCCCAGCTCTCCTGGAGCTTACACTCTAGTAAGGTAGACAAATCAAAGAATCACAAAAGTAACTATATACTTAGCACTACAATAAGTGTTAAGAATGAGAGGGATGGGCCGGGCACGGTAGCTCACGCCTGTAATCCCAGCACTTAGGGAGGCTGAGGTGGGTGGATCACTTGAGGTCAGTTCGATACCAGCCTGGCCAACATGGTGAAACCCCGTCTCTACTAAAAATACAAAAATTAGCCAGGCGTGGTGGTGCACGCCTGTAATCCTGGCTACTCATGTGACTGAGGCACTAGAATTGCTTGAACCCCGGAGGTAGAGGTTGCAGTGAGCCAAGACTCTGCCACTGCACTCCCGCCTGGGTGATTAAGCCAGACTCCATCTCAAAAAAAAAAAAAAAAAAAAAGAGACGGATGGCAGATTGCCCTGGTCAGGAATAGCTGAGGTGTAAATGCCTTCTGGTGGGAGGGAACTTGTGTACACACTGGCCTCAAGAAAGTCCACTCTCTTGAGCCCAGGAGTTTGAGGATACAGTATGAGCCATGATCATGCCACCACACTCCAGCCTGGGCAACAGAGCAAGACACTGTCTCAAAAAAATTTTTTTAAGTCCATAACAGGCCAGGTGCCATAGCTCACTCCTGTAATCCCAGCACTTTGGGAGGCCGAGGCAGGCGGATCACTTGAGGCCAGGAGTTCAAAACCAGCCTGACCAACGTGGTGAAACCCTGTCTCTACTAAAAATGCAAAAATTAGCCAGACATGGTGGCGTGCACCTGTAGTCCCAGTTACTCGGGAGGCTGAGGCAGGAGAATCACTTGAACCCAGGAGGCAGAGGTTGCAGTGAGCTGAGGTTGAGCCACTGCACTTCATCCTGGGCGACAAAGCGAGACTCCATCTGAAAAGAAAAAAAAATTTGTCCATAGCAGCTGAAGTGTGGAATACAACAGCCAGATGCCCCTGGGGAGATGGAGGCAGGGGCTGACTGGAGCGGTCTGGTGGGCAGTTTGATCTTCCTTGGAAAAGCAGTGGTAAACCAATGGAGAGTTTTGAGCTGGTGAGAGGGTGTCCTCAGTAGTCAGATCCCTTTGCCCTATGGTGTAGGCTCTGTTCCTAATGCTTGCTCTCAGAACCTCCTGGAGGGACTAAAGGGTGATGGGCCCTAAGACGTTATCTATGCTTTTTCCACTCTCTCTGAACCTCACTTGCTCTTCCTACTGCAGTTATAGTACTTCACAGATAAGGAGAGCAAGAGCTAGTACCCATCTTCATTGGAGCAGAAATATCCTGCCCTTGTGGAGCACACATTCTAGTAGGAGCAGACAGGTAACAAATAGAAAAAGTTTAATAAGTTAGTGATATAGTGTATCCAGTGATGGTTGGTGCTTACTGTAAAATAAGGCAGGCAAGGGGGATAAGGGGTGTCTGAGTTCAGTTATAAGTAGGGCAGTCAGGGAAGTCTCATTGAGAAGGTGTCATTTGGGCAGAGACCTGAAGGAAATGAGGGAGTGAGCTACGTAGTTAACAGGAGAGAGAACATTCCAGACAACAAGAATAGCAAGGCCCTGTTAGAGGCAGGGTAGCCTGACACATTTGAGGACAGCAAGGAGGACACTTTGCCTGAGGTGGAGCAGAGGGAAACTGACTTTGAAGTCTTAGTGTTACCGGCTCACTGCTGGGCACTGACAGATGGTCTTGTTCAAACCAGATAGCAGCCTGCAAGGTGGGTATCGCTGTTGCCCCATGTTAAGAAGAAGAAACCTGAAGTTTGAAGAGGTGACGAGATTAGTTCAGTCTACCCATGCCCCACATTGCTTAGCCTCATTGGAGTACTTGATATCCTGGCTTCTTGACATTCACAGAAACAGTGGTGGGTCCTCTGGCCTCTGCTCCAAAGGCCTGGATTCCACCTGATTCTGTCTGCTTCCACCAAGGTACCGGTACCATTTGGGCCCAGTCTTTTCCCTGCAGAGTAGTGGACTGTGGTCATGCACCTGGATGGTTCAGGTGTCTGGGCTGTGGTTTGAGCTTTGGGAAGATTGGCTGGCCAGGTCTTTGAAAGCTTTTTTAAAGGTCAAAGTTGGGAAAAAACCTGTCTCATAGCCTCTAGGCATGGATAGTGCCAGAGAGACTGGGAGCTGGATAGATGCTAGCTTGGAACATTCCAACTCTGGCCTTTCAAAGGGGCCTCTCACCATGTTGTCTTAAAAGGTTTTAGCTGGGATTAGTTGTCCGTCTTGTCTCTGGAAGGTTTTGGACAGAAATGGCAGGGCCAAGCAGACATACTTCCCTGAGCATGTTGGGTTCAGAGAGAATGGGAAAAGCATAGATAACGTCTTAGGGCCCATCACCCTTTTTTTGAATAAAGGGTCTTCCTCTGTTGCCCAGGCTGAAGTACAGTGGCGCAAGCATGACTCACCACGGCCTCGATATCCTGGGCTCAAGTGATCCTCCCACCTCAGCCTTCTGAGTAGGTGGGATCACCAGTGCATGCCACCATTCTCAGCTAATTTTAAAATTTTTTTGTAGAGACAGTCTCACTATGTTGCCCAGACTGGTCTTGAATTCCTGGGCTCAAGTGATCTTCCTGCCTCAGCCTCCCAAAGTGCTGAGATTACAGGTATGAGCCATCGTGCCTAGCCAAAAAGACCCTCTTCTGAACCACCTGTCTGTGCAAGTCATGAGTTTGGGGAGAGTTGGGCCCAAGGAGGATCCTTACTGTGCTGGGGGTTAATTGTGGCTTTCTCTTTACCTCTCTGCAGAAGTGTTTCCTGGCTCAACCCGTAACCCTTCTGGACATCTATACACACTGGCAACAGTAAGTGGTGGGGCCAGCAGGGTGGAGTAGGGACACCCCAAGCAACTCAGCTTGGAATAAGCTGGGATACCTGTCTGGTCTGAGATCTGTCCCCGTAGCCCACTCTGGGCACCACTGTTGCCTCCAGAAAGCTAGCTCACATCACATGGATGGGTATTTCTGTGTGGATATCTGGTAGTGGGAGGGCACACTGAGAGCTGTGATCTCTTAAGAACAAGAGCTTCTCACCAGCTTGTTATTCAGTTGACCAACAAATGTTTATTGAGCACCTCCTGAAAGCCAAGTCCTATTCTTAGTATGCAAATATTGTCACGAGTGAGACAGACGTGGTTCCTTCTTTCCAGCAGCTGACATCATAGCCAAGGAGGTAGGCATGAGTCAAAGAATGAAGCAAATGAATGTTAAATTACAGTGGTAGTAAGGATTACAAAAGAGAGGAACCTGTTGTCACAGCCACATAAATGGGTAAGCCTGGCTTCATTTGGGGGTCCAGGGGAAGCTTCCCTGAGGTGATCTTTGACTTGAGAGCTGCAGGAATTGGAGGAGTGAACTATGCAGTAGGTAGGGAGTGGCAGGTGGAACGCACCTGCCAGTGGAAATTGCTCATGCTAAGTCCTGTGGCTGGCGGACAGTACAGATGGGGCTAGGTTATGGCATGGATAGCCACACGTGGGCTGGTTGAGGAATTTTGGTGAGGAATTTTGTCCATGGTGAGGAATTTTGTCTTTATCCAAGAGCAGCGGGGCCATGGTAGGGTGAAAAAGTGAGGAGATCACTCTGCACCATGGTGAGACTGGTCGGGCCATGGACACCATCATCCAGGCAAGAGCTGATGGGGCTTGACACAGGGAGAACGGGGTACACAGTGGATTCCCAAGAATCCTAGGGATGAAACCAGGGCCTGTGGATGGGTGGGAGAGGAAGTATCTGATTGACTCCACGTCTGGCTTTTATACCCATGCATAGAGCTTAAAGGGAACCCAGTTTGGAGGGGAAAGACTTCAATGACATGTTGAGTGTGAGATGCCTTTTAAACATATAAAATTTAAGTACTCTTCAAGGAAGGGGGAATCATCCAAGGATGTATCAACAGAGGAATGGTTAGAAAATGGAGAGAGTAATTGTGTCATCTTCATGCACTGGTCTGACCACAGCTGACTAAGGGAGTGAAGGATGTGCAGACACATCCCATGAGGCATGGTAGAGAGTACTGAATTGCCTTGGGTGGAAAGGAGGCAGGAGAGGGGTGTGAGGGACCACTGCACATCTTTGAGGACCAAGAATAGTGCGTTCTCTGAGGCCCTGGAGACAGAAGTGGGCCCCAAATATACCTCCTTCAGGAAGACAGGTTTCAGCTTCTGAGTATAACGACATCAGAGCTATCTAAAAATGAGGTAGGCTACGGTGGAAGTGGTGAGCTCCCTGTCATTAGAGGTGTGTAAACAAAGGCAGAAATGGTGTGGAAGGGATTACAGCCTCTGGTGGAGAGCTAAGATCATTGAAAACCGTGCCAGCCCTCAGTTCTTGGCTGTCCTCTGCAGCTAAGGAGAGCTTAGAGTACAGGTTACAGCCCACACTTCCTCACCCTGACTTGCCCAGATGTGTGGGTGTTATTCGTAGTACTTCCTTCCCCCAGAAAACTGCTTCAGTGAGCTGCTCTGCACACTTTTCCCTGCCACCGGCCCCTTCTATGGGTGAGGGGTGCTGAGTGTGGGACAAGGACCTCAAACCCACCGAAGACAGCGTAGCCTAGCAATTCCCTGCAGAGTTCAAACCCAGCAACTAGCTGTATGTATGACCTTGAGTGGATTTCTGGGCCTCCCTGAGTCTGTGTCTTCACCTATAAAATGAAAATAATGATGGCAATTATCTCATTGCATTGTGAGGGTTAGACACAGTGGTCCATATAAAGTGCTAAAACTACTGGTTGGAGGCTCCCCACTTCCTACACCGCGGCCCCCACCCCCACCCCCGAGTATTTATTGAGCACCTACAACAACCCAGGCAATATTCTTGATATAACTGGGAACAAACCAGAGAAAAATCCCTGCTCAGCATTTTTGTTGGGGGAAAAGAGGCAGAATAAATTGATACACGTAAAAACAAAACCTGTTTTTAAAGGAGAATCCTGACAAGTGGTTTTCGTGGGAACAAGAGACCCGAGTGTCACATCCCAAACCATAATAGAACAGAGTCCATTGTGGCTGGGAAACCTGGGGCCTGGACAGTGACTCCCTGGGATAGGGGTCAACGGGCGTGAGACTTGAAAGTCCAGGGACCCAGCCACCTAGGTGCTTATCCTACCCATGCCCCAGACTCACTTTGCCATGAGCAAGTCACTTAGCTGTTCAGTTTTTGAGACATGTGCGAGGCACTGAGGATACTGTAGTGAGCTGCCAACTGCCCCCCTCCCTGGGCCTTTCTGTGTAGGGGAGGAGTCTAGGAAGTAAGTAAAATAACAGGAGATAGAGAAAAGCTCTGAAGAAAATGAAACAGGATCACAGGGCAGAGCATGGCTTGGGGGAGGGGCACAATCATCGAGGGCCTCTCTGGGGAGGCAACATTAAAGTTGAGACGTGAAGGACAAGGACTTGGGCAGAGTCTTCCAAGAAGGCACGGTCCACACAGCACGTTCTGCAGGAGGAAGAGCCTGGGCGGTTCTGTGAGGTGCCTGCGTGGGTCAGCCCCTATCACTTAAAGACTGGTAGCTGCTGCAGCTGTTATATACCATTATCCAGCATTCCTGATTATTTTAAAGACTAATCAAGAATTGTAAAAGCACTTTATGAAGTGAGTGAAAATGCAGAATACAAAATTGTATCTATACTGTGTTTTCACCACTGTTTAGATTCTATGCATATTGCCTTGAAGAGCTGGAAGGATGTGGGAAGGTCTAGTCAAATCTTGTGGAGTTGTTCTGTCACCCAGTTGGTATAGACAGTCACCCTTGTCCTGCAGAACCTCAGAGCTTGGTCGGAAGCGGAAGGCAGAGGAAGATGCGGCACTGCAAGCTAAGAAGACCCGTGTGTCAGACCCCATCAGCACCTCAGAGAGCTCGGAAGAGGAGGAGGAAGCAGAAGCTGAAAACGCCAAAGCCAGTAAGAGCCTTGCAGCTTTGGGAACAGGCTGTGGAATATTGATTGTTCTACGGTAGAGTCTACCTCCAACTTCTTCTGTTATCACTGGAAGACCTAAAAGACCCTGGGGAGAAAATTGGGAGGGCACCACCTATCTTTGGAGGTATTTGAGCCCTTCCTCTGTGCCAGGCATTCTATCTCCAGGCTCTGGGGATGCAAGGCCAAACCAAAACCACCAGATGGATCCTTCCAGTCTCGTTTGGTGTACGGGGCCCGGGAGCTAGCCTGTTACAGGCTCCCAGGTGATTCTTATTAGCTGGAAAGAAGACACATGTTCAGAAGTTCTGCTGGAGGGATTTCAGAAGGCACCTAGCAGACACATTTTCTGTGTGACCTGTGGGATGCTTCAGGAATTGCTGACCTTCATGTTTTTAGAATTGTACCCATTAGCACTGGAAGGCTGTACTAGGTACTGGTTTTACACCGTTTGCAGGAGTAACTCAGTCAAAGCTTTTATAGCCCCTTCTTCCCCTAAGGTCCCCAGGGCTCCTTGTACTTTCCCCAACAGCAGCCATAACTCTACAGAGGAATTGCTGTGTCTCATGTGCATCATATTATCTTCTTTTGCTTACATGCAAGACAAATCTCTTAATACTTGCTTTTTATTTTTCAAGACGAGGTCTCGCCATGTTGCCCAGGCTGGTCTTGAACTCCTGAGCTCAAGCAGTCCTCCTGCCTTAACCTCTTAAGTAGCTGGAATTACATGTACATACCACCATGCCCAGCTCCCTGAGCCTGCTTTTAAAGTGTTTGAGATCATACTGGGTGTATCTTTTATTATTTTTTTTTTTGAGATGGAGTTTCACTCTTGTCACCCAGGCTGGAATACAATTGCATGATGTCAGCTCAGAGCAACCCCCACCCACTGGGTTCAAGTGATTCTCCTGCCTCAGCCTCCCGAGTAGCTGGGACTACAGGCATGCACCACTACTCCCAGCTCATTTTGTGGGGCTTTTTTTTTCCCCCAGTAGAGACAGGGTTTCACGATGTTAGCCAGACTAGTCTCAAACTCCTGACCTCAGGTGATCCGCCCACCTTGGCCTCCCAAAGGGCTGGGATTACAGGCATGAGCCACTGCGCCCTGGATATAGATTATGTATCACTTAATTTTACATTATAAATGCAGAACAAGTTCACTTTGAATTGCAGAAGAATGTATAGAAGAAAAATTAAAGGTTTCTTGTTCTCCTACCCTGTTCCCCATCATTCCTAAGTGCATGTCCTGGTAGGCAGCCTTTAAAACTTCCTCCTTTGCCTCTATAGTCATTCAGACATGTATTCATACATGCATATATACAGACCTGCATGCTATTTGAAACACAAATGGTAAAATTTCATACTGATTATTTGGTATTAATTTTATAAGCTGTGATAATGTAAGTGCAAATACTTTTTGTTGTTGTTGTTTGGGGCTTTTTTTGAGATGAGGTCTTGCCATGTTGCCTAGACTGGAACTCCTAACCTCAAGTGATCCTCCTGCCTCAGCCTCCCGAGTATGTAATTTTATTTTTTAAAAAGTCCTCATTGGTTTGGGCATGGTGGCTTACACTGGTAATCCCAGCACTTTGGGAGGTCTAGGTAGAAGGATCACTTGAGCCCAGGGGTTGCAGACCAGCCTGGGCAACGTGGCAAAACCCTGTCTCTACAAAAAATTTAAAATTTAGCCGGGCATGGTGGCATGTGCCTATAGTTTCAGCTGCCTGGGAGGCCTGAGGTGGGAGGATTACTTGAGCCCAGGAGGTCAAGGCTGCAGTGAGCCATGACCATGCCATTGCACTCCAGCCTGGGCAACAAAGCAAGACTGTTTCAAAAAAAAAAAAAAAAGAAGGAGTCCTCTTTGGCATCCTCAGCAACATAGTGAGACCCCATCTCTGCGAAAAATAAGAAAATTAGCTGGGCATGCTGGCATGCACTGGTGGTCCCAGCTACTCGGGAGGCTGAGGTAGGAGGATCATTTGAGCCCAGGCATTGGAGGTTGCAGTGAGCTATGAATGTGCCACCGTACTCCAGCCTGGGCAGCAGAGCAAGACCCTGTCTCAAAAAAAATTTTTTAAAGGGTCCTCATTGAGAGAGAATCATGCTGAAGTATTTGTGGGCAACATGATAGAATATCTGGTATTTTCTTCAAAGTAATGTTTGATGGGGAAGGGTGAGTGAGGTATTAGATGAGATGAGAAGATTGGTCACAAGTTGCTAATGGTTGGAGCTGCCTGGTTCTTCCTACTTACTACTTAAAATTTTCCATAATTATAGAAAGAGAGAGATGAAGTGCCAGGAAAAGAATTAGATCATGCCATTCATCTCAGCAACATTCTCCTTAACAATGGAAATCTAAGATTTAAGGAGACAATACCCTGGTATAAAAGCACTGAGAAGCCGGGTGCGGTGGCTCACACCTGTAATCCTAGCACTTTGGGAGGCCAAGGTGGGCAGATCACAAGGTCAGGAGATCGAGACCATCCTAGCTAACATGGTGAAACCCCGTCTCTCTAAAAATACAAAAAATTAGTCGGGCATGGTGGCGGGCTCCTGTAGTCCCAGCTACTCGGGAGGCTGAGGCAGGAGAATGGTATGAACCCGGGAGGCGGAGCTTGCAGTGAGCCGAGATCATGCCACTGCTCTCTAGTCTGAGCGACAGAGCGATACTCTGTCTCAAAAAATTAATTAAGTAATAAAAAAGCACTGAGAATCAGTGAATATCGATATCTAATGGGACTCAGGTGGCATGGTTCAGCTACCTGTCCACTAAGAAGCCATTTGAATTCCAGGCAACTTTCTCTGTGGACCTGGGGCTGGCTGGCTGCCTGCCTGACCACTGCCGCTTTTTGCCGAGCAGCTTTCAGGGCTACGGTGTGGTGGTCTATGTGAATGGTGCCCATTGCCCATTGCAGTGTGAAGTGCCCAGTAGGCAGCGAGAATGTGGGCCAGTCCTTTTCCCTCCAAGGGCCTCAACGCCTCATGCTGCAGGGGAGTTGGGAGTCCATCAGGGATGCAGGGATGCAGACACGTACATCCTCTTCTCTCTTGCTCCTGGTGGACCTGGCTGATGTATCACAGAGCTCATTCCCGCAAGTCTGGGCTCAGCCTCAGATCCTCATGCCAGCACCAGGCAGCCAATACCAATAGAAGTGTTAGGTGAGATGAAACCTGTTTGCCATTCATAGATGAGAAAAGCTCATCTGGCTCCTTTAGCAGATGTTTGTTTCTTGCAGCCCCAAGACTAGCATCTACCAACTCCTCAGTCCTGGGGGCGGACTTGCCATCAAGCCTGAAAGAAAAAGCCAAGGTGAGTGGGACTGCTTTCCAAGCTTTGCCTATGGGATTTACCTGGTAGGGGACAGTCTCCTGTCAGAGAAGGATAGGGTTGTAATTGCCCCACCTGGATTCAGAGCTGAACCTGTGTCACCAGTTGTGGGATCTTACTCCCTTCACCTCTCTGGGCCTCAGTTTACTTTTCTATAAGATGAGGATGATGCCTGCTGCAATGGGCCACTGGGCACATTCTACACCTGAGATAGGCGATTTCTTTCCTCTTTAATCCCTGCATTCACCTGTCACTCAACAGATCTTGACTAATACCTGTTATGTTCCAGGCACTGTGCTAGGTATGGAGGCACCGTAGTGATCAAGACACCTGTGGTTCTGAAACTCTAAAAGCATTTTCCAAACTGGAAACTGCTCAGAAAACAGGGTGTCATTTTCTGATAATCCAGAAAGCAGAGTCAGATACATACATGTATAAAGAATTGTGCCTCTGCAATTGCCTGGAGCATTAGCAACAATGTCTCAAAGTAATTATGAAATAATGATAAGATCAACAAACTGCTACTTACCACTTAGTAAATAACCCTACCGTGTCCCAAGAACTGGGATTCTGTTCTCTCAACACGTCTGGTGAGAGGAGGTACTGTTTTTAACCTCACTTTAAAGATTGGGAGACTGATTGAAGGGATAGTTTACCCAAACCCACACAGCTAGGAAGTGGTAAGATTGGGTTCAGATGCAAGTGGCCTGTGCTCTTACTTCACCATGCCATACCAGATGTGTCTGTCACTCTTGTTCTCTGTAGGCAGAGACAGAGAAAGCCGGCAAGACTGGGAACTCCATGCCACACCCTGCCACTGGGAAGACAGTGACCAACCTTCTTTCTGGGAAGTCTCCCAGGAAGTCAGCAGAACCATCAGCAAATACTACGTTGGTCTCAGAAACTGAGGAGGAGGGGAGTGTCCCGGCCTTTGGAGCTGCTGCCAAGCCTGGTGAGAAGCCCCCACCTCTAGGAATCAAGTCCCCAGAACTTGGGCTGGTGAGGCAGGCCTAGGCATTGCTTTGTTCAGTTCTGGGACATTTCTGGAACCAAAGTTTTGTCTCCATGACAGCCAGGTTCCTGCACCTTAGGCCATTTTCCCATCCCCTGGATGAGGGAGGGTCAGCTACAGGGACCTGGCCTCGGGCTGAACAGCCCATCTAGTGGTTGGAGCATTTTCTGCTTTATGACTCCCTGGTGAGTTACAGGGACCACTGGTAGCTCAGAGACTAAATTGAAAGGCCTGAGTTTGCCTGTTTCCTATGTAGAGTAGACATCTGTCCGGCCTGCATCAGTGGATATGATGGTGGATGGAGGTTCTGTAGACTGTTGCTGGTGCGTGCTTGTTGGGTCCCCTCACAGCCCTTTCCAGGGCCTCAGGGATGGTGATGGTACTCACCTCAGAACGGGGCTTCACAGCTCAGTGCACGTGAAGGGTGAGCACTCAGCACCTGGCTTTGATGAGCAGCTGGTTTGTTGGGAGGTGCTGGGAAGGGGCAGGTGAGGCTGGAAAGGAAGTCCCTCAGTCCCCTCTGTGTCCGACCCTCAGGGATGGTGTCAGCAGGCCAGGCCGACAGCTCCAGCGAGGACACCTCCAGCTCCAGCGATGAGACAGATGTGGAGGTAATTGCCACCCATCCCTAGGAGTTGCCCTCTCCCAGCCTCTAACCCTCCCAGGAGCCTGTCTGGGTCTTCAGACACCAGTGGGCCCAGATCAGTTCAGCACCTGTGGCAGGGTGACCGGGAACTGGAAAGGCTGCAGCCGGGGAGGGGCAGGGAGAAGAGCCTGGTGCTGCTTGCTGCACTCTGAGTGTAAGATCGGCCCCGGGGGTGGGAGGAGGACCCCCTCCTGCCTGTGAGACTAGACAAGGCTTCCTGGGAGAGGTGGCCTGGAGCAAGGCCTCAAAGCACAGTGGGCTTCACTGGGAAGGGGTGTAGAGGAGTCAGGGCATTCAAGACAGGAAATGGGGCAAGAGCAGGGCCCAGGGGCAACAGTGTGGCTATCTTGTGGTGTGGCTAGGGCTGCGGCTGCTGAGAGGGTTCTGGGCCCAGTGGTGAATGCCAGACCTAGATACTTGGCTAGAGTTGGGCTGGACTCTTGGGTTTGTGAACTTTGAGCTGGAAAAGGTCCTCACAGGTTACTTTTTATTGTGTACCTACTAAGTGGCAGGCCTGGGGAATATATAGTGATGAGCAGGACAGGCAGAGTTCCTGGTGCCATGGGGCAAGGGAGCATCCCTCAAATATTTAACTGTGGTGATGGCTGCTATGAAGGGGAAATGTAGAGAACCATGTGGGGCAGGAACCTGACATTGATGAGTAGGCGTAAGCAGAAGGAATGGCATGTGCAGAGAAGGAGGCAAAGAGAATTTGGTGCTTTTAAAGAACATTGATCTTTTTTTTATTTTTTTAAGAGTCTCACTCTGTCACCCAGGCTGGAGTACAGTGGCGTGATCTTGGCTAGCTGCAACTTCCACCTCCTGGGTTCAAGCGATTCTCGTGCCTCAGCCTCCCGAGTAGCTGGGATTACAGGTGCATGCCACCACGCCTGGCTGATTTTTGTTTTTTTTTGTAGAGACGGGGTTTCACCATGTTGGCCAGGCTGGTCTCGAACTCCTGACCTCAAGTGGTCCACTTGCCTTGGCCTCTGAAAGTGCTGGGATTACAGGCATGAGCCGCTGCACCTGGCCAAAACATTGATCTTTAAATGAGAGGGAGAAACCAGGCACGGTGGCTCACACCTGTTAGTGCAGCACTTTGGGAGGCCAAGGCAGGAGGATCATTTGAGTCCAGCAGTTTGAACCCAGCCTGAGCAACATAGTGAGACCCTGTCTCTACAAGGTGTTATTTTTAAAAAAACAAATAAATTGTGGGGAAAGTGACACAAGATGAAGTCCTAGGTAGACAGGGGCCAGATCTTCTGTCTGACCTTGAGGACCACCATAAGGAATTTGGGTTTTATTCTAGGGGCTGTGAGAAGCCATCCCAGCACAAAGAGATGGCCTGATTTGTGTTTCAAAAAGATTGCTGGCTGCAGCCTGGGTTGGAGGGCAGTGCAGAATAAAAGCAGTGAGGCCATGTAGGAGACTCTTGGAGTAATACTGGCATAAGAGGCTGGGGGCTGGAAGAACAAGGTGTCCACAGTTGGAAAGATGTTTTCGACGGAAAACCAGCACAAATCAGGGATGAACTGATCTGGTGCCCAGGGAACTTCTGACTTTACTGTAGCGTGGTAACCCTGTGAAGGTTGAAAGCTCACCCCATCTACCCCAGACCTGACCAAGGGCTGCCCTCCACCTTCCATCCTCACCTTTGGGCCCTAGATACCACCAGCCATAAGGACGCCCCTGGCTTCTATCACCCCAGGCCTTGCCAAAGGGAAGGGGACCGCTCCCAGCCCTCCATAAACACACAAACTCAATGGGCTGAGGCTGTGCAGAGCTCCAGTAGCAGACGCCCCAGAAACCCAGGGCTGCAAGGGGTGTGATGGATCTCAGAGGTGGAAGTAGGGCACTGACTGCCTGGGAAATTTCTGAATTGTGGAAGTGCAGGAAAGAGCTCACAAAAGGAAGGAATTTGCCCAAGGTGTCCAGCACACCAGTGGCAGGGGTGGTGTTCACATCCTGAACTCCCCGCCCTCGGGTTGGCTGCTGTGATCAGATACTTGAGTTTAAGGGGCAGACAGGATGAGCTCTCCTGATTGAGAGATGTGGCCCGTCTCTCAGGCCGACCCCTGCGTGTGCCAGGTGGGAGATGAGCGTAATGGTTTTGAGATCTGTGCCAAAGTCAGACAGTCCAGGGTTCCAGTGGGGCTCTGCCCCTTCATATTGATCATGAGTAATTTTACCTCTTTAAGCCTCTTGTATTTTTCTGGAAAATGGGTCTAAAGCTAATAACTGTCTCAGGGAGTTGCTTAAAAATCCAATGACATTAGGAAAGAGCTTTATCAACTGTTGAAGCACCTAATACAGAACCTTAAGGGAAACAGTAATTATTATTAATTTTCTAATTCCATCCTCTTGTTCCAGGGGAAACCCTCAGTAAAACCAGCCCAGGTCAAAGCCTCATCGGTTTCTACTAAGGAGTCTCCAGCAAGAAAGGTGGCCCCAGCCCCTGGGAAGGTGGGGGATGTGACACCCCAGGTCAGAGGAGGGGCCCTGCCCACAGCCAAGAGGGCCAAGAAGCCAGAAGAAGAGTCAGAGAGTAGTGAGGAGGGGTCTGAAAGCGAGGAGGAGGCCCCTATAGGGACACCAAGCCAGGTGAGGCCTGGAGGAGGGCTGCCCCTTGGAGGACCTGCGGGTCCCCCAGCAGCCTGAGCACTATCCCATGAGCACCTCTGCCACTGGAGTTGGGGAGAGGGAGGAGTACGGTGTGAAGCTGAAGAGCAAGAACAGCCTGCTTCCCACAGGGGAGTCCTGCACTCTACTTTGTCTGTGACCAACTTTGCCTCAGTTTCTCTGCCTAGTAAATGGGCCGCTGTCCTTCCCAGCCAGTCCTGCTGTGAGGTACTTGAGAAGTTTTGATTGCCTGGTCCTCTGATGTCTCAGGACAAACCAGACCCTGAGCAGGCAAACACCATATTAGCTAAAGGGAATCCAGTTCCCTTCCCCATCTGCTGGGATGGTGAGGCTGCAGCCCCAGAACTGGGTGCAGAGCACCATGTTAGCTAAAAATCAATTCCCACTCTAAAGCAAACAGAGCTACAACCCAAGACTCTGGGTGCATCAAGGACGAGACAGAGGGCTGGAAAGCAATGCAAGTCCAGAGCAGGAAGGAGGAAGAGTAGTTCCCTTCCCCATCTGCTGGGAGCGGGCAGGGCTGCAGCCCCAAGACTCTGGGTGCATCCCAAGGGCAAGACAGGGGCTGGAAAGCAATGCAAGTCAGAGCAGGAAGGAGGAAGAGTGAGGGTCACCCGCCCAGCCCCAGGCTTGGGGAAGGACAAGGTGGAGGCATGCAGTAGATAAGCAGATCCCCTGTGTTAGCTGCTGGTAAATGGTAAAGGGGAAAGTCGGGTGGGGGATGTAGGAATGGCAACTTGAAACAGAGTGATCTGGGCTGGCCTTGGGAGAAGGCCTCTCAGCAAAGACCAGAAGGAGGAAGCACTCTTAGGAAGGTCATTCCAGGCAGGGGCTCAGCAACTGTCAAGGCCTTGAGGTGGAAGTAGGACTCCCTCCCTGATCTTGTTGTATTGTGTCTCCCAAGTGAAGCCCTTGGGGGAAAACCCCCAGGTGAAACCTGCCTCCACCATTGGCACCGGGCTGTTGGGGAAAGGCGCCGGCCCAGTGCTACCTGGGAAGGGAAGCCGGGGTGGGGGGGGTCTTAGGAGCCTCATTAAGGCCTCTGGACTTTATCTTAAAGGCATCACCAGAGAGTTTTCACAAGCAGGAGAGCAAACTGCCCTTTCTTTTTTACTAGGTAAAGGCCTCTGAAAAAATTCTCCAGGTCAGAGCTGCCTCGACCCCTGCCAAGGGGACCCCTGGGAAAGGGGCTACCTCAGCACCCCCTGGGAAGGCAGGGGCTGTAGCCTTCCAGACCAAGGCAGGGAAGTCAGAGGAGGACTCAGAGAGCAGCAGCGAGGAATCGTCTGACAGTGAGGAAGAGACGCCGGCTGCCAAGGCCCTGCTTCAGGTGAAGCCTGAGGAGGGAGACCCCATGCAGCCAGGCCCTCCCCCAGAAGGCCTTCTCAGGACTTGTTCTCCCACTCTGTGTCAAAGCCCGGGGCGTGCCTCAGACCCCAGCCCCTTACTCCCCTCTCACTGTGTGGCGTCATTTGCCCTCTCTGGTCTTCTTTACCTGGTGTCCTGTGTCTCCTCACACATCCATCCCCTGGGCTGTCTCTCCTTATCTTGTTTCTCCAGGCAAAGGCCTCAGGAAAAACCCCTCAGGTCGGAGCTGCCTCAGCCCCTGCCAAGGAGTCCACCAGGAAAGGAGCTGCCCCAGCGCCCCCTGGGAAGACAGGGCCTGCAGTTGCCAAGGCCCAGACGGGGAAGCAGGAGGAGGACTCGCAGAGCAGCAGCGAGGACTCGGACAGTGAGGAGGAGGCGCCTGCTCAGGTGAGGCAGAGGGGAGGGGTGGAGAGTAGCCCCATGCCTAAACCCCAGCACCTGCATGGGTATGGCCACCTTTGCCTCATCCAGCTCCTTTCTCCTCACACCTTCCGGGCTCTCCCCTCTCATCCTGTTTCTCACTCCAGACGAAGCCTTCAAGGAAGACCTCCCAGGTCAGAGCTGCCCCGGCCTCTGCCAAGGAGTCCCCCAGGAAAGGGGCTGCCTCAGCACCTCCTAGGAAAACAGGGCCTGCAGCCACCCAGGCCCAGGCAGGGAAGCAGGAGGAGGACTCGGGGAGCAGCAGTGAGGAGTCAGACAGTGACAGGGAGGCACCGGCAGCCATGAACGCAGCTCAGGTGAGGCTGGAAGCCGCCCTGCATGGCCTGTGCCTTGCCTCAGAACACCTCCTGTGGGCTTGACTTTTCCTCTCTGAACCTAGAGCCCTATGCGGCTGGCTTCGTTTGCTCTCCTCCCCACCTAGGTCTTCACTCATATTCTCCTTCTGGACTCCCTGATCTTGTCCATTGTGTCTCCCAGGTGAAGCCCTTGGGGAAAAACCCCCAGGTGAAACCTGCCTCCACCATGGGCACGGGGCCCTTGGGGAAAGGCGCCGGCCCAGTGCTACCTGGGAAGGTGGCGCCTACAACACCCTCGGCCCAGGTGGGGAAGTGGGAGGACTCAGACAGCAGCAGTGAGGAGTCATCAGACAGCGATGATGGAGAGGTGCCCACAGCTGTGGCCCCGGCTCAGGTGAGGCCCCTGCCTGTAAGGCTCTTTTTTTTCCCTCACAGTGGAGCCACCCATAGCCTCCCACTGGGACTCTGTCTACCGTCTTGGTCTCTTAATGTCTGTACACACCTACTCGGGGCTTCCTCTCCTGATCCTGTGTATCTCACTCCAGGAAAAGTCCTTGGGGAAAGTCCTCCAGGCCAAACCCGCCTCTGGTCCTGCCAAGGGGCCACCTCAGAAGGCAGGGCCTGTAGCCATCCAGGTCAAGGCTGAAAAGCCCATGGAAGACTCAGAGAGCAGCGAGGAGTCGTCGGACAGTGCGGACAGTGAGGAGACACCAGCAGCCATGACTACAGCTCAGGTGAGGCCTGGGGAAGGAGGCTGCCAGATGGCCTGATCTACCACACCACAGTCAGCCCCCTGGGGAGCTGTGCTTCCCTCAGGCAGATCATGGGTTCTGACTGGTGGGGCAGAACAGTAGTGGGGCTCCACCTCAGAACAGATGGGGGACTCTGAGTTCAGGAATCTTCTCCAGCCTTTCTTTGGTGTCCCTTTAGGCAAAACCAGCTCTGAAAATACCTCAGACCAAGGCCTGCGCAAAGAAAACCAATACTGCATCTGCCAAGGTCACCCCTGTGCGAGTGGGCACCCAAGCCCCCCGGAAATCAGGAACTGCGACTTCTCCAGTAGGCTCATCCCCAGCTGTGGCTGGGGGCACCCAGAGACCAGCAGAGGATTCTTCAAGCAGTGAGGAATCAGATAGTGAGGAAGAGAAGACAGGTCCTGCAGTAACCATGGGACAGGTGAGGCCTGTGTTTTCTGGGTGGACCTCAGGGCCGCCCCTAGGTGGTCCTTTGGACTCCTGGAGACACCTCTCTTCCACTTGTCATCCCAGGCAAAGTCTGTGGGGAAAGGCCTCCAGGTGAAAGCGGCCTCAGTGCCTGTCAAGGGGTCCTTGGGGCAAGGGACCACTCCAGTACTTCCTGGGAAGACGGGGCCTACGGTCACCCAGGTGAAAGCTGAGATGCAGGAAGACTCTGAGAGCAGTGAGGAGGAATCAGACAGTGAAGAGGCAGCTGCACCTTCAGCACAGGTGAGGCCTAGAAGGAGCAGGCCCATCCCACCCACAGCTGTTCCTGAGCCAAGGCTGAGGATGGGCTTGATTGGGGGCTAGTCTTGCCTGCAGGTGTGCAGAAGCCTCAGCGGTAGCCTCAACACAGCGTCCTTCCCTATCTTTCACTCCATGTCTCCTCTGCCCATCAGAGCTCCAGGGTCTCTTGTCTTGTTGGCCTTTTGAGCTCCCGCTGATTTATTCCCTGTGGTTTTCACAAGCTCTGGAGTTCCCACCCTGCCAGGTGCTGCCCTTGTCTGGGGCTGCTGAGGCCCTGTTCCTCGGGGAAGTCCTGTCTCTGTGGAGCATGGACGTGCTCCTCCAGTGTGGAGTGATGGGGTTGAGTTAGAGGGTGTAAGCCTGGGCTGCACAGCATGACAGGTGAGAGTATCTAGGCCTTTTACAGGAGGTGGCGGCATCTGAACCATGGGCTGAAAGAGATGGGCAGGGAGAGTGTTCCAGCAGAGGAAGCAGTCTATGCAAGGCCAGGGAATGGGAGAGTGCCCGGCTTGGGTGCCTTGCCACAGGCAGCACATTGTGGTGGGATGGCTGGCAGGGGTTTAGAGCCAGACCACCTGGGTTAAAGTTTCAGCCCCAGCCCCACATCCTGGCCAGTGCTGAAGTCCTCAGAGCCCTTACTCTTCTGTAAACACAAAATCAGCCCTCACAAGTTTGGGTAAGAATTTAGGTGAGATCTCACCTGCCACACCCAGCAAGGGACCTGCACACAGCAAGTTGTCTCCTGTCACTCTGACGATGGGCCAGGCTAATGTGGAACAGATCAAGAGTGAGGTCTCCCTGCCTGGAAGAGCTGAGAGAAGATGGCTCACTCCCTGCACTCACCCACCCACTGTTTATTATTTTTAATTGTCGCTCTATTTTTTTCTGTAACCACTCAGAAATTAGTCATTTCTTTTTTCTCTGTACCAGAGCACACATTTCTACTGATTTTTTTTTTTTGTCCCCCTCTCATTGTTGACTCGTGGGACCCGAGGGTCCTAGGATTCCTCCATTGAGGCTTTTAAGCTCTGCAGGGGCCCCTTCCAGATCCTCCTCTCCTCTTTCTCAAGCTGCAGGCACATTCCAGACCCAGTGCCTTACAGAGTTGCCTTGTGCAGATCACTTAAATATTTGTCTTCCCTTCTGAGCCTCCCACCTGTACCATGAGGTGGGTGTTTTGCTTTTATTTTTTGAACTATGAGCTGTTTTGAAGTAAGCTGTTTAATTTCCAAATATCTGGGATTACCCAGGTTTCTTTTTGTTGCTGATTTCTAATTTAATCACATTGTGGTTAGAGAACATATTTTGTATGATTTCAATCCTTTTTTGTGTATTGAGACTTGTTAGGTCAAGTCAGTCTTGGTGTCTTATTTCTTGTGGAAAACATGGCTCCCCTCTGGAGGACTTACGTGCTGTGCTGATGAGTACCTCGGCCTGAGTCATACTTGGTCCACACTGTAGGGAATCTTTCTTTTTGAAGTCCTGATTCTTCACCTCACTTGACCTCATGTGTTCGAGGAATACTGGGGGATGGGGATGTTTTCTGACACTGACCAGATGCCCTCCCTGAGTGAGGCAGGGGTCTTGAGATGCTGCCAGATTCCTCGTTCTGTTTCACATCAGGCTTGCTGTCACTCCTGTCAAGGATCTCACTCTGGGAATTTCCCTCTTTCTTGCTGTCCTATTTGTTGGAGTCCCTGACAGGCCTTTTGGGGGTTCTCTGGATATCGGTTAAGACTAGATTAAGCTGAAGAAAACCTTGAACAACAAGTATCTTGTTCTGCCGTGGCTGCTTGAGCTCCAGCTCTTACCTCAGCATTCCATCTAGCCTGGAGGAGGAAGGACATGTTTCTGACTTTTTATGGTACTCAACTTACATTCTACGAACCGGAATTTAATGACATGGCCACCTAGCTGAAAAGGAGCCTGGAAAACATCTTTGTTTTAGGTAGTCTTATGCTTAGCTAATGCTAAGGAAGGCACGCACAATGAGTTTGAGTGTTTATGTTCCAGACATGTTAAACTCTGAATCTCCTATTTAGTCTTCATTATAACCCATAGGTGGGCCTTATTATTATCTCCATTTGTTAGAAGACTGAACTGAGGCCCAGTGAGATAAAGTGATGTGCTTAGGTTCACACAGCAATTGCGTGGAGGAGCCAGAATCCAGACTCAGGCTCTGGCTCCAGAATCTGTATTCTTGGCTAGCTGCTTTACTCTCTCTCACTTTCTCCCTCCTTAATTTCCTTTTCTCCACTCAGGTGAAAACCTCAGTAAAAAAAACCCAGGCCAAAGCCAACCCAGCTGCCGTCAGAGCATCTCCAGCAAAAGGGACAATTTCAGCTCCTGGAAAAGTTGTCACTGCAGCTGCTCAAGCCAAACAGAGGTCTCCAGCCAAGGCAAGTGGAGCCAGAAGCCACAGGAGGTGTGGAGGGTTGGAGCAGAGAGGAGGACCACTCACTGAGCCCAGCCTGGAGAAGGCTCCTGCGTGGGCAGGCCACCCACCCAGAGTTGTGCCATGGTGGAAAGTGGGACCTGAAAGGAATCACTTCCGCCTCCAATCCTGTTATCCCCCTGCAATTCAGGCGAAGCCACCAGTGAGAAACCTCCAGAACAGTACCGTCTTGGTGAGGGGCCCAGCATCTGTGCCACCTGTGGGGAAGGCCGTGGCTGCAGCAGCTCAAGTCCAGACAGGGCCAGAGGAGGACTCGGGGAGCAGTGAGGAGGAGTCAGACAGTGAGGAAGAGACGGAGACGCCGGCTCAGGTGAGGGGGAGGGAATGGAGAACATCTCCTACATGGGATGTAACACTTTTGCCGCATCCAGCTCTTGTCTCCTCACATGTCCACCCTCCAGGCTCTCTCCCCTCATCCTGTTTCTCACTCCAGGCGAAGCCTTCAGGGAAGACCCCCCAGGTCAGAGCTGCCTTGGCTCCTGCCAAGGAGTCCCCCAGGAAAGGGGCTGCCCCAGCACCTCCTGGGAAGACAGGGCCTTTGGCCACCCAGGTGGGGAAGCAGGATGACTCAGGGAGCAGCAGCGAGGAGTCAAACAGTGATGGGGAGGCACCAGCAGCTGCAACCTCTGCCCAGGTGAGACTTGCCAGGCCTCTGAGCCACCAACACCCACTCCTCAGAATTGGAGTATAGGGCCGGGCACGGTGGCTCACACCTGTAATTCTAGCACTTTGGGAGGCCAAGGCGGACGTATCACTTGAGGTCAGGGGTTCGAGACCAGCCTGGCCAACATGGTGAAACCTCATCTCTACTAAAAATATAAAAATTAGCTGGGCATGGTGGCGGGTGCCTGTAATCCCAGCTACTCGGGAGGCTGAGGCAGGAGAATGGTGTGAACCCGGGAGGCAGAGCTTGCAGTGAGCTGAGATCATGCCACTATACTCCAGCCTGGGTGATGAGAGTGAGTGAGACTCTCTCAAAAAAAAAAAAAAAAAAGAAAAGAAAAATGAAAAACCAGGGTTTAGGGCCAGGTAAGGAAAAGGAAGGAAGGTCAGGTTAAGGCTTAAGGCTCTGGCTCCACCATGCCCCCCTCCCTCTGCTGTCATCCACATCTCCTTAGGTAAAACCTACTACTAAAACTCCCCAAACCAAGACTTCCCTCGCTAAAAGGGTCCCGGGTCTGTGTCTAGGTTGAGGTTTCCACCAGCCCTATAGGTTAGGCCAGTATCTCCCACCAGGTCATGTGAGACCAAGAGTCTTACATGTTGGTCATTGTGCATACGTTGACGTAATACAAAATGACTCTCCCTATCAGAGTCCCAAGGAAACTTGGAGTGTGGCACAGGTCCCCCGAGGCCCTGAAGAGATGGAGGAAGTCTCGTCCCTCACCTTGGCCTGGGGCCTCACATAGGCAGGTGCATCTTCTCAGGCAGGGCTTGTCTAGCTTAGTGCCAAACCTGGGCCCTGAAGACTGGGGAGAAAGAAAATCTGGACAATTCCCTCGGTCTGCTTGCAGAAGACAGCAGGGCTTGCTGCATCCTACAGAAGTGTGGGATGACAGACTCCAGCACTGCCAGGGCACAGGTGTGTGATGGACGTGACTGATGCAGGCCTGGCAGAAATGATAGATGTCAGCCGGGCGCAGTGGTTCAAGCCTGTAATCCCAGTAGTTTGGGAGGCCAAGGCGGGCAGATCATGAGGTCAGGAGTTCAAGACCAGCCTGGCCAACATGGTGAAACTCTGTCTCTACTAAAAAAAAAAAAAAAAAAATACAAAAATTAGCCAGGCATGATGGCGGGTGCCTGTAGTTCCAGGTACTCGGGAGGCCGAGGCAGGAGAATCGCTTGAACCTGGAAAGCGGAGTTTGCAGTGAGCCAAGATCGTGCCGTTGCACTCCAGTCTGGGCAACAGAGTGAGACTCTGTCTCAAAAATAAAATAAAATAAAATAAAATAGATGTCAGGAGAGATGGTAGATAATGATAGCAAGTAGGACAGACCGGGGAGCCCTTGCCCCATCCATAAGGACAGTTCCTATCAGCTTCAGCCAGTCATGACTGTGGAAATGGACCTTCTTTGTGGCCAGATCTTCCATTTCTTAAGGGAAGCTGGAAGTCCCTGTGCCAGGCCAAGCTGCATAACCTCTCTTAGATTTGTTTTCTTCATGAGTAAAACAAGCACTGAGATGAATGCTCCCTATCCCTAACCTCTGCCTTTGATATACCAAACCATTACTGGGGGCGAAAGACATTGGCCCTGCCCTCAAGGAGCTCACAGTCTGTGGGGCAAGACAGGTGGCCGGATTATCGGAGAGGATGCTGGTGGTGCTGACAGCTGAAAGAGCAGGTCTCTGAGAGGCCAGAAGAGGAGCGGGTGATTGAGCTGAAGGATGACCAGGCACAAAAGTGGACAGGGCCCCTCAGTGTGTGCAGACGGGCTGGGCATGAACGTGCATGGTCACTGAAGGCTGCTGTCCTACAAGCCGTAGGCCCTCCCAGGTGCTTATTACTGGTAGATTTATGGAGGACCTAAATGACAGACTAAAGCATAGGCCTCAGCCATATTTTGGCCTGTGTAGTATTTTTGTTTTTAAGTTTTCAACGAGTTCCTCTATCCATCAGAATGGCCTAAGTTGCAGGAGAAAGCCCCATTCAAAAGAGCTTCACTAAGGGGATTGACTCTTACAGTGCACAGAGTCCCAGGTTCCAGCTGCTGAAAAGCTGGTTCCTTCAGCTAAGCATCAGTGGTGACCAGATTTCCATCTCTGTGCTCCATCAGCTTTATGGTCATAGCAGGGCTGCAGCATCTCCTAAAGTGCTGGGGGCAGGCCAGGTGCAGTGGCTCACACCTGTAATCCCAGCACTTTGGGAGGCTGAGACAGGCGGATCACTGGAGGTCAGGAGTTCAAGACCAGCCTGGCCAACATGACGAAACCTGTCTCTACTAAAAATACAAAAATTAGCTGGGCCTGGTGGCACTGGCCTGTAATCCCAGCTGAGGCAACAGAATCACTTGAACCCGGGGAGGAGGTGGTGTTGCAGTGAGTAAGATTGTGCCACTGCACTCCAGCCTGGGCGACAGAGTGAGCAGAGCAAGAGTCCATCTCAAAGACTGAGGAGTGGACTTAAGGCTACTCAGACCTCAGGCTGGACGTGCTAGCTACCCTCTTAGCCATAGACAAGAAGCCAGTAGTTCCCATGACTGGCTGGGAGGAGGGACCACCCTCCCTGAAGCATGTGGTAGGAGCCACTGAACAGAGTGAGTGTTCTGTTAGCAAGGAACAGATGGGGGCATGGCTGTTAGGAGGCAGCCAGCAGTGTGCATTGTAGTTGCCCCATTTAAAAATCGGAAATGACATGTACAGATCTTCCAGCTTCTCTTGAGAAATTGGAAGCTCAGGCAGCCTGGGTCCTACTTTTTTGGCTAGGCTGAGTAGAGAAAAGGGGCCCCCCATTCCAGTAGGGACCACTGAGCTGCCATCACCACCAGCATTTCCACCCGGATCTCTGAGTCCTCCTCTGACTGCAGTGTTCACCAGTCCAGCCCCCATCATCATGCCTGCCCCAGCAGGAGGGTATGGTAGCCAGTGGAACACTTCTAGGCGGCTCCTGCTTTTGGCTGGGGATGTTACAACCAGAGATGAACTATGCTGGGACCACTGGCTTGTGCCTGCAACCTTGTCCGAGGCTGCTGTCACCTCTTGTCCAGACCCTGGGCCAACAGCCCTGCAGCCCTCAGGTTTTAGCTGTATTGGAGTCATAAATCCCTTTCACATTTGAAGTCAGCTCTGGAAGGAGCTAGTGGAAGCATGTTTCCGGTGGCTGTGGGGCAGGTCAGAGCAGCAGCTATTCCTGTGCATGTGCAGGAAGGGGCCACGGTGCCTCCCCTGGAAACCAGAGTGCCTGAGGATCATTGCCTGCTGGCTCTTTCCCCCTCAGCAAATGCCCCTCTCCCTGACCACATGCTTATCCAGGTCTTATCCCCTCAGAAGGACAGTAACTCCAAACCTGCCAGAAGCAAGACCCTGGCCCCAGCACCTCCAAAGGGGAACACGGAGGGGTCCTCGGAGAGCAGTGAGGAAGAGCTGCCACTGACCCAGGTACGCCATGCCTTCTCTTTGCAGTCGCTGCAGGGTCAGAGCTGGGCTGGCAGGCCTTGTGGGAGAGGGCAGATCTTTCCCATAAGGAAAATCTCGTCATATTTAAACAGCATCTCACAGCTTCCAGAGCTCTTTCCTCTATTGTGACATTCATCTGAGCCCTGTGAGGCAGGCAGCAGTGCACAGTTAAACATACAGGCTTCAGAGTGTTGGGGCGAAGCCCGGCTTTACCACCTAACAGCTCCGTGGTCCTGGGCAGACGCCTTTCCCCCATGTGAGGCTCAATGTTTCAACCATAAAATGGGGTCAGTACTAGTGCCTCCCTCCTGCCTCTGTGCACTGGTGCCAGCACACGAGGTACTTGCCACAGTCCCCTGCCTAAGAAAGGGTGCCTGGTAACTCTGAGAAGGCCAGGGAGTGCTGCCCCGTTTGACAGATCGGGAATCAAGCCTTAGAGTTGAAGCAGTTTGCCGAAATTCTCATGATTCATAAGAGGCTGAGGAAAGGTGCAAACACTGGTCCCCTGGCTCCCTATATCTCTGTTGCCTGTTTAGGACCGGGAGTCTTCTCAAATCCCATGAGCTTTGCCCAGGACTCTTTCTCAAGCGCCTGTGGCATACCTTCACATGCTCCACTGCACCCAGAACTTAAGCCACAGTCCTGCCCAGGCTACACCCCCAAGGATGAGACCAGCCCCACCTTATCTCCCTGTACTCCAGAGGCCTAAGTCAGCCATTCTGGAGTGGTTCAAGCTTCTGTGTGAACCCTGGCCCTTCCATCAGACAGCATTACCCTTTGTCCTCCTCTAGCCCCAAGCTCCCAGAAGCTTCTGCCAGGCACCTCAGAGCACCAGCTCCCCTCCCAGGGCCTAACGACAGATCCTGGAGTTCTGCAACCTCCAGACCAGAGTGGTCTCATGAACCACCTCCCCTTGAATATCACATACCACATTCTTACCAATTCATCAGTAAGGTCAGATGCTGTTTGCACACTTCCAGCAATAGGGTGCTCACTGCCTCTCACTTTCCAATAGCACAGATTACAAAAGTAAAGAACAACCACCACCAACATCGGTAACTCCCTGTATTTGCATTTTTCTGTTTAATCCCCACAACAGCCCCATGAGGGTGGCTCCCTTTGTGGTTTACATTTTAAGGAACTGGGAATGAGGCTCAGAGAAGTTGAGGGACCTGTCCCAGCATCACATGCCTGATGGCAAGTGGACAGACCTGGTGTTGGAGCCCAGGCCATTCACATTCTGACCCGTTGCCCGGGGCTGCCCCAACACTCCCCTCTCCCAGGCTTGGGCATTGCCCTCAGGCTCTGGGTGGAGCCTTTACGAGGCCACCTGCCTCTCTGAGGGATCTCAACAGCTGGGAGGGAGGGGACCGCTCCACCTTTCTCTGTGGGGGTGGACTAACACAATTAAAATGAACATCCTGCTTAAACTGAACTGTTTAATTGGTATGTTAGTCCTGAAGATTCTGGAGTCCTTATTTAAAAAGCAGAAAGAAAAGTCAGCAGTTTGTACCTTCCCCCAGGAGGCTTCGGGGAAGACAGGCATAGCCCCGGGAAGCTGCAGCCTCTTCCTCATTGAGAGATTTTTAGTTCCTAATCCCCAGCTCACTAATTAATTATGATTATTTTCATTATTGTACATTTATTGAGCACCTCTCTATTGACAAGTTTCAGTCTGATTTTATTAGCCCATCAGTGGGGAAAGGGATTGAGGCCAGGGTGGTGGGCAGAGCCCCAGGCTAGGAGGCAGGGATAGACACTTGGGCTCCATTCCTAGACCCTTCACTGTGCCTCCGCCCCGTTGTGCAGAGCAGACCTCAGGCCAGAGTCTGCTGGGGTCTGGGATAGCTTCCAGATTTGAAAACAAGTATGTGAGGTGATACATATGTTAAATAACTTAATTGAGCTATTCCACAATGTATATGTGTATCAAAACATCATGTAATATACCACAAATATATGCAGTTTCACTTGTCAGTAATATAATTTTGTAAGGCCAACTTCTATTAGTTTGTCAAAGAGGTAGGCCCTGCTCTCGAAGTTTTAGGTTGAATCGAAGAAAAAGGAAACCTGTAAGAAACTAAATTTGGGTATTAAATTGAGGCCTAGCGTAATTGGTTCTAGAAGGAGCTCCAGTCTGGTGCCTGGAGAACTAACTTCTAATCCTGGCTCCGGCACCAGTTTGCTGGTCACCCTGGGTGATGCCACTTGCCTTCTCTGAGCCTCATTCATCTCAGTCTCTGAGATGAGACTTCCTGGGTGGGTGGGGTGGACCTTGAGGCTCCAGGCCACGTCCCCAGAGAGAATTTCTCAGTCCCTCGGAGTGGGGCTGGCCTAGATCTGTTAACCAGCCCCAGGCAGTTCTGAGAGAGCTTCTTAGAGGAGTGTTGCCTTTGTGGTTATGTGCCTTGCCAGGGTCCGCAGCCTAGGCCATCAGCCCCCTCTCCCCACTCTGTGCCCCAGACTTGTTGGAATGAAGGCACAGTTAGAATGAGCTCAGCTTTGACAGGAGAGGATGAGCACTGTCCTGAAATCCCCTAGGTTTGGTTCTGCAGGCATCAGACCTGCAGGTAGAGGGCATATCCCTGGGTTCCCTCTGGGTGCTTACTGTCCAGCACCTATAGGGAGGTACAACCACATGTTCAGACTGTGCTGGTTTGCTGCTTCACTCCCATCAGTTTTTTCCTAGCTGACCCCAGAACTACATTCCGGTGTGTACTGTGCTTTGCAGTTTCCGCAGTGCATTAGAACCCTTGCAGTGAATGAGCCCAGGCTAGGATAACTACTAGCCCTTTCATTAAACAGGAAACTGAGGAGCAGAAAGTGGAGGGGCTTGACCACACAGTGAAGTCATGAGAGGTGGGATGAGAAGCAGGTCTCCCGCTACATCCTGGGCAAACTTCACTGCCCACCTTTGTGAACTCTACAGACTAATGCACTAATGCCCCGCCCCGACCCCCCACAGCCAAGCCCCTTGCACCACCTCCCTCCTACGGCCCAGAGGCCCAGTGGGGTGGCGTGGGCGGGTGGAACTAAGAGGAGGCTTTTGCTGCTGAGCTGCTTTTAACATCCCAAGACGCTATTGTTTGCCTCAGTGGGTTCGTTGCTTCTCTTCGTCCCCGACAATCTGTTCCTGTCTTCTCACATATATATAGATCCCCCCTCCCTCAACTGTAAGCCTTCTCCCACTTTCCATCCTTCTCTTTTTTATATCGTAGGAAGGAAGGCTCTGGAAGTGGCAGATCAGAGCAGCCGTGGGGGAGGCTATTTGGCAGGGGTAGGAAAGGCCTAAGCCCAGGGAAGCTTCCACCGTCAGGCAGGCACCTTGCTGTTTTACTTTTTACTTTATGCCTCTCCACAGCACCTTAGCACCCTGAGGAGCCAGGTGTGCTAAGTCGGGCTCAGAGGGTAGGCAGGATGGTGCAGCAGAGACCAGTCTGGACCTGACTCCACTCCTCCCTTAGCTCAGGCAGCTGCCTCTTCCTGTCCTCCAGCCCTTTACTGGCCAGAGAGGGAGCAGAGCTCACACCAGGTCTGACATTTGGGGAATGGAAAGTAGACCTAAGGAGCTCCCTGGCTCACAGCCATGTGTGTTCTCATTAGCTGGGGGTTTGGGAAGGAAATGGGCCTGGAGGTGCCCTTGTGTGCAGTGAACATGTTCAGGGATGGTGCAGTTCACAACCAGACTGGTCTGCAGAATACTAGGGAGCTGCTGTTGCTTGTTTGCTTTTTCTTTTACTGTTTTATTGGAAAATTTAAAGCATACCCAAAGATAGAGTGATGTAAAGAACCCCCAAGTACCATCCCCAGCTTCAACAGTTAGGAACTCCTGAGCAGGCTCGTTTCATGCAAACTCTCCGCTCAGTTCCCCAACGCCCCTGGATTACTTTGCAGCCAGTCTCAGACGTGTTAGCTCATCCACCAGGATTTCAGTATGCATCTCTCAGTTATAAGGACTTTTTTAGGCACAACTACAATACAATGTCACACCTAATAAGTTGGTCTATCCAGTCAGTGTCCCTGTTTCCCTGATTGTCTCATGGAGTTCAGTTAAAGGCCACATACTGCATTGAGTTATTAATCCTCTAAGTCTTAATCTGTTGGTTCTCACCCACTCACCCAAACCTTGTTTCTCTTGTGCATTTTTTTGTTGAAGAAACAATCTCATTGTATAGCTGGGGAGTTTCATCCTGGGCCACATATCAGGAGGGCTGATTCAGAACCTCTGGGGTGGGGGCAACTAGACTAAATCCCCAATCTCCCCAGGTGCATTGTATATTCCAACCAGGCAGCCTTGGAAAACTGCTCAGACCACCGCCTGCATTCAGCAGGTAACTGTTTCTGAAGCCAGCCAGGGGAAAGAAAGCAGAATTGGACATTCTGGCCTTGGCTTTGCTTCCAGTAGGCACAGTGGCCTTGGGTCGCTCCCTTGCCCTCTGGGCTTGCAGTTTTCCCACTTGTACAAGGGAGCTGATCCTGCTGAACACAGGGCGTCACCCTGAGGGTCACGTGGGGTCCTGTGAGTTGTGAAGTGCTGCGCTGGGTCTTAGCAGATGTGTAGGGTGGGAGGGGGCACGCTGGGCAGCTGGAATGGCTTCTGTGCCCAGCTGCCCCTGAGCTCTGTGGACCCCTTGCCTTGTAAAACACTCCCTAACCCCATCACCTCCTTTCCCTGGCCAAGCCTTTAATCACTGGGGGGGTGTTTTGTTTTTGTTTTTCAAGGTGATTAAACCCCCTCTGATTTTTGTCGACCCTAATCGTAGTCCAGCTGGCCCAGCTGCTACCCCCGTACAAGCCCAGGCTGCGAGCACCCCGAGGAAGTCCCGAGCCTCGGAGAGCACAGCCAGGAGCTCCTCCTCCGAGAGCGAGGATGAGGACGTGATCCCCGCTACACAGTGCTTGACTCCTGGTGAGCACAGCCCCTATGCAGTGGTGGGAGGGGCTGCCAGCACTGCCCACATTAAGGCCCAGAAGGGACAGGACACTGGCTGAGTCACATAGCAAGGTGTTGGTCAGGAAGGGCTTGGGACCAGGTCTCTGGGCCCTGCATTAGCCATTCTGATTATGGCCTGGCTCAGACCTGCAGTTCTAGGGGAATAGTTGCCACGGCTTTTTTGTGCCAGCCGCAGGCATGGAACCCAGAACAGTGGCTAGAAGCTTCAGGGACCAGGTTCCTCCATAGTCTAAGGAAGAATTCTGTATCAGTTGACTGCCTATGGAACGAGTGGTCAGGGTGGTAGTGAGTTTCCCGTCCTTGGTGGCATGTAAAGTGGGTTAGGCAATCCGTAAGCCAGAGACATTACAGGGAGAGATTTCATCTATCAACGAGAGGCAGGACCAATCTGAGTTTTCTTTAACTTCTGAGAATCTGTGATTCTACCAATGACAACAGGAGATGGGCTAATGTTACTATTACAGTTATTATAACATTTTTACAAGGAAATAATACCTGATCCTGATAGGATAATTTAAAAATACAGGCCAGGTGCAGTGTCTCATGCCTATAATTCTAGCACTTTGGGAGGCTGAGGCAGGCAGATCACCTGAGCTCAGGAGTTCAAGACCAGCCTGGGTCACATGGCGAAACTCCATCTCTACTGAAAATACAAAAAAATTAGCCTGGCGGGTGCCTGTAATCCCAGCTACTTGAGAGGGTAAGCCATGAGAATTGCTTGAACCCAGGAGGCAGAAGTTACAGTGAGCTGAGATGTGCCACTGCACTTCAGCCTGGGCAACAGCGAGACTGTCTCAAAAAAACAGAAAGCAGGGCCGGGCGTGGTGGCTCAAGCCTGTAATCCCAGCACTTTGGGAGGCCGAGACGGGTGGATCACGAGGTCAGGAGATCGAGACCATCCTGGCTAACCTGGTGAAACCCCGTCTCTACTAAAAAATACAAAAAACTAGCCGGGCGCGGTGGCGAGCGCCTGTAGTCCCAGCTACTCGGGAGGCTGAGGCAGGAGAATGGCGTAAACCCGGGAGGCGGAGCTTGCAGTGAGCTGAGATCCGGCCACTGCACTCTAGTCTGGGCGACAGAGCGAGACTCCGCCTCAAAAAAAAAAAAACAAAAAAAAACAGACAAAATGCAGATTACTGCTGGACACGGTGGTTCACACCTGTAATCCCAGCACTTTGGAAGGCCATGGTAGGAAAATCACTTGAGCCCAGGAATTCAAGACCAGCCTGGGCAACATAATGAGAGTTCTATCCTACATATATAAATTTATATGTGTATATATATGTGTGTGTGTGTGTGTGTGTAGGTATATTTGTGTGTGTATATATTTTTTTAATAAAAGTACAGATTAGCACATAAGAAACGATATCACCTGTAATTCTGCCCCAAATACTGTTAACATTTGACAAATGCTAACTTTATAAAAACCTAAGATATACATGTGTTTTAAAGCAAGACCGTACTGTAGCTAACGCTCAGTAACCTTTACTGGATATTTTATGACATCAAGTTTTTTTCATCTTTACATATTTGCAGCACAATTCCTAATGACTACAAAGAAATCCCTTGGGTGGACATACCACAGTGTGTGTAGCCAGCACCGTGTTGGAGGAAGCAGAGGGTTTTGTTTCAGGGTGGAAGGGTGAGGAAGTTGGCTGTTATAAACGTTGCTTTAAAGAATATGCATGTAACCAGGCCTCTGCAGATAACCACGGGGACTCTTAGGAGAGACGGTACCTGTGCTCTGGCCCATTGCTCAGGAGTGGCAGCCCGACCAGCTAGGAGGGGATGGGATGGGGTGAGGAAGCCTGGGGTCATCCCCAGAGCAGCCATTTGAGCTCCCTGAGCCTTGTCCAATGACATAATGACATCTGCCTGGGAGGCTTGGAGAGGGAAGTAAACAATCTTATGCCTCTGTAAGCCCTGAGCACAGCTCTAGATCACCAGCACAGGCCGGTAAACTGGGTTATTGCCACTGCTGAGGAGGCTATGGGGCTTGTATGCCCTGATGTGCCCCCATCTCACTCCATTTCAGGCATCAGGACCAACGTGGTGACTGTGCCCACTGCCCAGCCAAGAATAGCCCCCAAAGCCAGCATGACTGGGGCCAGCAGCAGCAAGGAGTCCAGTCAGATATCAGATGGCAAGAAACAGGAGGGACCAGCCACTCAGGTACCTGGTGGGCAAGGGAGGGCAGTGCAGGCTGGTGGGGTGGGGCCCTACTTCCATACTTACCACATGTGCTGATGGGATGGCCTGCAATTGCTGTCACCCCCACACTCCAGAGGTGGTAGCCTCACAGCCAGAGGCTTTTTGGCCTCCTGGCTACAACCCCCGTGCTGGCTTCCCAAATCACCTTTGAGTTATGAGGAAGAGTAATCTGGGGACACAGCCTCCCCGCCAAGCAAGCCCTTGCACCTCGAGTCCCTCATGAGATTTTCCAATGTGGTGGGGCTTTTGATTTTTTTTTCTTCCAGTTTTGGAATGCCATGAACAAAAGTTGCCCTTTTTTGGTGTTTGTAATAGTGACGTCAGCATTCTTCCCAGCCTTCTCACCATCTTCAGTGCATTTTTATTTGGTCCTTGCCTGAATCTAAAAGCTGGGCATTTTAGGGTTAATGGCTGGTGCATTGTTTAAATCATAAAACTTAGCACACATCCCCACCCCAAGGGCTGTGATGTGACCAGCATTCAGCAAGGCCAGAACCCGCTGGGCCACCCTCCAGGCAGGGAAACTGCAGGTACCAGGGCCTTTTGGGGAAGCGCTTGGGAATGAGGGAAACTGAGAGGTGCGGACAGCTAGATGAGGAGCCGGGGACAGCTAGATCAGGAGCTGGGGGAGAGGGGAGGAGCCAGGCCGTGGCAAGGGCCACGCCACATCTGAAGGCTCTCAGCAAGGGGTCAATTTCATAAGTTCTCTCTCCCTGACTGCTGGTGGGTGTAAGTAGAGATGGGGGACCACCAGGTTGGGGATTGTCCCCAGTGAAGGTACAGATTGAGTGGTGGGGCCTAAGCTGCTTCCCTGCCCTGGGCTGGGAACTGTCCCTTGCTCCTTGAGGACAATGTGATTAGCTCATAACCTGAAGCCTGCCACCAATTTTGCCCCTTTGACTGCCCCTCAGTCCCCACTCCAGCCCTCACCCCAGCTAGATGGCATCTGACCAGGGTGTGGCACAGCTGGCATCCCAAGGACTCATGAGTCTCAGGGCTACCTCTTGCCACCCACAGGTGTCAAAGAAGAACCCAGCTTCCCTCCCACTGACCCAGGCTGCCCTGAAGGTCCTCACCCAGAAAGCCAGTGAGGCTCAGCCTCCTGTTGCCAGGACCCAGCCTTCACGTGGGGTGAGCCTGGGGAGCAGGGGAAGCAAGCCCGCGGAGCATAGAAGGTGCAGGCGTGGCCCTGCGTCCTGGCACCAGCACTTACCTGTTCTGTGACCTCTGCACTTGGTTTGCCTCCCTAGGCCTCAGTGGCCTAATCTGTAAGAAGGAATTACAGTACCTTTTGTAGTTGGGAGGATCAAATGAGGCTGCATGTGTGCCCTGTCTAACACAGTGCCTGGCCCTATTGAAGTGTTCAGGAAGGACCAGGTCTTACTTGCCCTAATTTTTCCTTCCATTCCTTCTCCTTTCACCAAATTAGGCTGACAGTGCTGTGGGAACACTCCCTGCAACGAGTCCCCAGAGCACCCCTGTCCAGGCCAAAGGGACCAACAAGCTCAGAAAACCTAAGCTTCCTGAGGGCCAGCAGGCCACCAAAGCCCCTGGGAGCTCGGATGACAGTGAGGACAGCAGCAACAGCTCTTCAGGGAGCGAGGAGGATGCTGAAGGGCCCCAGGTGGCCAAGTCGGCCCACACGCTGGGTGAGGGTGCCAGGGGAAAAGGAAGGGTGGGCCAGGAAGAGGGTGGAGTGTGACCTGGTGGAGCCATAGCTCTGGCCTCAGCTCCGTATCTCAAACTTGTTCTGCGCCTGTGGCTGAGCCTGGGCCTACAGTTTCCCTGTACAACTTCATGAGGAAATCAATCCAGATGATTTCAGAGACCCGACTTTGCTGTTTGACCACTCTCAGCTTTTTGGTATCGGACTCCCTTCACTGGCTCCCCAAAACTCCAGGGCCATGTTTCTGGAACAGTGGAAAGCAGGGAACTAGAAATGGGCCTCAGGAATTAGAAATAAGGCTTTGGCATTCAGATGTCGTGCCTAGCATGCTGTGACTAGCGATGAGTGTGCAAGGAGTGTTGAAGCAGTAGGAAGATTTGAGGTGGGGCGGGGATGGGGCTAAGGGACCTGCAGAGAGACCAGGGCCTTCCTGAAGGGCTCTGCCCCTCCCGGCTGGAAGGGGCCACCTGGGGCTACCAACAGTAACTGGAGATACTGTGCTTCTCCAGTAGGTCCCACCCCCTCCAGGACGGAAACCCTGGTGGAGGAGACTGCAGCAGAGTCCAGTGAGGATGATGTGGTGGCGCCATCCCAGGTAACTGCAAGGGAGAGGGCTGGCAGCCCAGGGGCCTTAGGGTATAGCCCCAGGCCAGGTTCCTGTCTACTCCATCACTCAGGTCAGGAGTCTGGGTCCCCTCTCTTCAGAGGCCTTGGGCAAAGTCCTATCTGTGAGGCTCCGCATGTGGCCCAGCCAGCCCACAGCCAGGCTGCCTCCCTCCCCTCACAGAGCCCTGAGTAGCTAACCCTTAGGGTCTGTAGAAGGGATTGACCTTGATTCTGGGTGATGTCCGGACAAAAACATTCTTTAGCAGATTTCCTTTAAGGTTACTTACTACCTGTATGTGGCAAAAACTAGTAATTTTCCATTTGCATTAGTAAGAAATTTCCTTTTTAAATGTGCCTGTCTAGAAAGCGTATTAATTAAAATAGTTCAAGAGGCACACACCAAGGGCTGAAGTGCTGCTCTGTGCCTTGCTGTCCACGCACTCTGCACTGTCAGGGCAGGGCAATCCTAGAGGCCGCAGGCTGCTTTCCTCGAAGCAGGCCGTCACTCGGGCTGGGTTATGGCGGGGGTCGGGGTGGTGGCAGCCTCTTTCACAATGGGCTTCTTCAGTCTCTCCTCTCAGGTTATGTGACCCCTGGACTAACCCCAGCCAATTCCCAGGCCTCAAAAGCCATTCCCAAGCCATACTCCAGCCCCTCAGTTTCCTCTACTCTGGCCGCCAAAGATGACCCAGATGGCAAGCAGGAGGCAAAGCCCCAACAGGCAGCAGGCATGTTGTCCCCTAAAACAGGTAAGTTAAGGTCTGCAGGGAGGGACATAGCAGGACACAAAGGGACAGGGCAGTGGGCCCCTTCCTGCTGTCCTGCAGCAACAGTCCCCCCAACATGGTCCTGTCTGCCCCCAGAGCCTTGCCAAGTGAGACCTTGTGGCCCTGCACTGGATCTGGACATGCTCATCAAAGTGCAGGTGGGGCCGGGTGCAGTGACTCACGCCTATAATCCCAGCACTTTGGGAGGCCGAGGTGGGCAGATTGCTCGAGCCCAGGAGTTCAAGGCCAGCCTGGGCAACACAGGGAAACCTCATCTCTGAAATGTATTTGAATTAGCTGGTGTGATGGTGCACGCTTGTAGTCCGAACCACTTGAGAGGCCGAGGCAGGAGAATCCCTTGAGGCCAGGAGGTTGAGCCTATAGTGAGCCATGATCATGCCACTACCTTCTAGCCTGGGTGCTTACAGTGAGGCCCTATCTCAAAAAAAAAAAAGTACAAGTGGACTCCATGTCCAGGTGTCTGGCTGCCATGGCCCTGGACAGCCTGGAAGTAGGGGTGTATCCAGGCCTGGGTTGGTGCTGATGCACCTGGTAGGATAACCCCTGCATCAGAGGAAGCCACATCTTTTGGCTTGTGCAGCAAGCGTTGGCTCTCTCCAACCATCCCCATCAACTTTTCTTCTCCATAAATAGGCTCACGGTGTGGGGTGTGGGCCATGGGCCCCGGAGGATAGCTTAGACAGTAGGCTGACAGTCATGTCCGGAGGACACTCAGCACATGCAGGAGACCCCAGGCAATAGACTGGCCTCAGGCTGTTCCCACTCACTGTAAAGCCTTGGAAATCCCCTGGCCACTCTGAGCCTCTGTGTCTTAACCATACAAAGCAGGAGTTGATGTATCCCGTCTGTGTCAAGGCATGGCACGTGTAGAAAATAGTCACATGGTGTTTGGAGGGCAGAATGGAGTATTCCAGTCACCCAACCTCTGGGGCATCCACTGTCCCTGACCCTACTGGAGCTGAGGTCAAATATGTACCAGCTGGGCACACCTGGGACAGCTCCAGGGCTTCCCCAGCCTTGGTGTTCTGCGTATTTGCAGATAAGCAGCAGAAAAGTGGGCCGGGCGCAGTGACTCGCGCCTGTAATCCCAGCACTTTGGGAGGCCAGAGCAGGCAGCTCACTTGACGTCAGGAGTTCAAGACCAGCCTGGCCAACATGGTGAAACCTTGTCTTTACTAAAAATACAAAAAACTAACCAGCGTGATGGCAGGTGCCTGTACTCCCAGCAACTCAGGAGGCTAAGGCAGGAGAATTGCTTGAACCTGGGAGGTACAGGTTGCAGTGAGCCGAGATTGCACCACCATACTCCAACCTGGGCAACAGAGCAAAACTCTGTCTCAAAAAAAGCAGCAGCAGAAAAGTGGGCTCTGGGGAGAGAGGTGGCCGGAGCTAACTGTGCCCTCCCCAGCTTCCCTCTCTATTGGCTCCTGCCATCTTGAAGAATCCCCAAAGGATGGAATTGGGCCTCTAGCCGTCCCGGGGCTCCCTCTGCTTAACCTGGACTGCCCTGCCCAGCCCACTGCAGCTCTAGAGCCAAAAGTTGCCAGAGATCCCGGGTGAGGCTGAGGGGCCAGGCTCACTGCATGCTGCAGGGGGCAGCCCTAGCCTTAGTGTGACATGAGTGTCACATAGAGTGTGACATGGAGTATCCACCTGGGCCTTCCTCCAGGCAAACATCTCCAGGGCCAAACCACCAAGCCACCTTTCAGATCCCAGCGTGCAGGAGTGTTGTGCCCATGAGACCCAGAATGGGGCAGAGACCTCCAAGTCACCTGGAAAGTTAGAGATGGTGAGGGGACCCAGTCCTGGGGCTTTCAGCCGCAGCTTGCCCCAGCTGGGTCGGAAGAGAATTGCTGCTCACTTTCTTCCCCAGCATTCTTTGTGAGAGGCGGTGCAACAAGGAGACATTTTAGAGGGGGCTGTGGAAGGTTTTTTTTTACACGTGTAGTCAGCACACAATTATCAAAGGCAAGCAGAGGCGTGGAAAATTCTAAACAAAGGCTGCACCAGAAGTCTCTCTGGCAGGCAGTAACCTGCTTAGTCAGCTACCACGTGTGTATACACTGCACCCAGCACTCCCCACCTTGCCTGGACACCCTGACCAGGAAGGGCCGAGTGTGGGTAATCATCATTTGAATGTCTGCCTGGCCCCCACTTTTATTATAAGTCTACAATGTATCATAGGTAGCCTTACTGTTCATCTACCCCTCAGGTTATAGACGGGAAACCAGGCCCTGGGAGGAGACAGGTCCGGCCAGAATCACACTGAAAGTTGGTGGGAAAGTCAGACCTAGAACCCAGGTGTCCTTCCTCCCAGCTCCACACTCCATCTCCCTCCCGTCTGACTTTTCATTTCATTGATAGATTTCAGGCCCTTTCATTCACATTCTGGAATCATTTTCTGTCTCCTACCCTAACTGGAGTTTTTAGTGTAAAGAGACAGGGAAAAGCTGTAAGTTAGAAATGAAGTCAGAGTGTGAAATTGGTGGAAAGATGTGAGCTTAGGAGACCGGCTGGGGCAGAATGACCACCAAGCCTTGCTTTCCCCGTCTGTGCCATTGTAAGAAAAGATGGAATCACTCCCTGTACCCTCTTCGCTCTTGGGTACCATTAAGATCTGTCCCGAACTCTCCCAGATCTGAGACCCCACATTCTCTCTCCATAGGTGGAAAAGAGGCTGCTTCAGGCACCACACCTCAGAAGTCCCGGAAGCCCAAGAAAGGGGCTGGGAACCCCCAAGCCTCAACGCTGGCGCTGCAAAGCAACATCACCCAGTGCCTCCTGGGCCAACCCTGGCCCCTGAACGAGGCCCAGGTGCAGGCCTCGGTGGTGAAGGTCCTGACCGAGCTGCTGGAACAGGAAAGAAAGAAGGTGGTGGACGCCACCAAGGAGAGCAGCAGGAAGGGCTGGGAGAGCCGCAAGCGGAAGCTATCAGGAGACCAGCCGGCTGCCAGGACCCCCAGGAGCAAGAAGAAGAAGAAACTAGGGGCCGGGGAAGGTGGGGAGGCCTCTATTTCCCCAGAAAAGACCTCCACGACTTCCAAGGGGAAAGCAAAGAGAGACAAAGCAAGTGATGATGTCAAGGAGAAAAAAGGGAAGGGGTCTCTTGGCTCCCAAGGGGCCAAGGACGAGCCAGAAAAGGAGCTTCAGAAGGGGATGGGGAAGGTTGAAGGTGGAGATCAAAGCAACCCAAAGAGCAAGAAGGAGAAGAAGAAATCCGACAAGAGTGAGTGACCTCTTCTCCCGGCCCACCCCGAGGGCTGCTGGGCACCCCACGGGGGCGGGAGGGACTCTCAGCCAGCACCTGGTCTAATTCCTCCCATGTAGAAAGGAGAGGCTGAGACCAGCCTGGCCAACATGGCGAAACCCTGTCTCTACTAAAAATACAAAAAATTAGCTGAACGTGGTGACAGGCACCTGTAATCCCAGCTACATGGGAGGCTGAGGCAGGAGAATTGCTTGAACCCGGGAGGCAGGTTGCAGTGAGCCAAGATCACGCATATGTACTCTAGCCTGAAAGATAGAGCGAGACTGTCAAAAAAAAAAAAAAAAAGGCTGAGAAGTGATTTGTCCAGAGTCATGGGGGCAGCTTGTGGCAAAGCCAGAACTCGATTCCAGAGCACTTGGGCCAGCACTGCCAGGAATGCTCCAGAAGGACGAGGAGTCATGTCCTCTTTCCCCAAGCCCAGTGCAGCAGATCTTGGAGGAACCTGCTTCTCCAGCCAGCTCCTGGGTGCAGAATGGACCAGGAACCAGACTGTCAAAATCCTCATCCCAAACCCCATCTTCTCTCTAGACCTCAGTTTCCCCTCCATAATAACACTGGCCCTTTACTGAGTGCTGCTCTAGAGACTCAGCTTACAGCAGGACCTCATTTAGGTAGAAATGAGGCTCAGTAGGTAGAAAACTGAGGCTCAGAAGTAGAGATGCTGTTCAGGGCCACAGAGTTTTACTAGGTGGAGCCAGAGTCAAACCTAGGCAGCACTCGAGCATCACCCTGGATGGTGGGATGCCAGTGATGCCCGAAGAGCCGGCTTGTTCTAGAACAAAAGTCAGGCACCCTCAGCAGGATATGCAGCTCCTTGGTGCTCAGAACTGCTAGATTTCCATTTACAGTACGGATCGTGTCCATTTAAAATAAATTTGCGGGAGTTTTAAAAAGTGAGTTGACCTGAAGAAAAATGGTAGTCATCCAGGTGGTCCATGGATGGGACAGAAATCATGAGCTGGCCCCGCTGGGTGGTCGTCACAGCTGCCAGCCCATTTTATTTTTATTTTTGTGACAGGGTCTTGCTCTGTCACCCAGGCTGGAGTGCAGTGTCAGGAACACAGCTCACTGCAGCCTCAGCCTCCCAAGCTCAAGCGATGCTCTTGCCTCAGCCCCCTAAATAGCTGGGACCACAGGCATGCACCACCATGCCCAGCTAATTTTTTGTATTTTTTGTAGAGACAGGTCTCACTATGTTGCCCAAGCTGGTTTTGTACTCCTGGGCTTGAGCGATCCACCTGCCTCAGCCTCCCAAAGTGCTGGGATTGCAGGCATGAGCCACCGTGCCCAGCCCTGCCAACCTGTTGTGATGGCTCCCGGTGGTGTGGGGAGAACTGGGAGCCCTGCCCTGTGCGCTTCCCAACATTGACCCTAGCACTTAGGATTGCCATCCGTTGTTCAAGAACTTTAGTTTCTTCCCTTAGGAAAAAAAGACAAGGAAAAAAAAGAAAAGAAGAAGAAAGCAAGAAAGTCCTCAACCAAAGATTCTGAGTCACCGTCCCAGAAGAAAAAGAAGAAAAAGGTAGAGAGTTCCTGAGGGGTCTCAGGCCAGAAAATGGACCTAAACCCAAGCCCCCTCCTACACACCCAGACCTGGTTCCTGCCCCCTTCCCATTTTCAGGGCCCAGTGGGGGCGTCATAAGTTGTGACACACCAGGGAAGAGGCTGGCAGCGCATGTTCCCTGAGCATGTGGAAGCCACAGAAGTGGGCTGCCTGAGGTAGAAGGGTGTTGGGGAAGGAAGGAGAGACTCCCCCCGCCCAGCACAGGGAAACCAGGTAGACTGGCAGGTTTCCAGGTGAGAGGAAACGTTGCCTGGGCTGCGTGTGCCCCAGCTGGCAGGCTAGCCCTGAGCAACAGCTGTCCCTACGGCCTGGGGCCTCAGCACCTCAGACACAGATGAAGTTGTCACTTTGGCCAGCAGGGCCTCAGCTGTATTTAGGAGAGCTGAACATCTGTTTGCCTCTGCCCTTGGAGGTTCCTGCAGAGCCAGTATCTGTTCTAGAGGAATTCACTAGTCCTCAGGAGTTGGGGGCAGCAGTGGGTGGGGAAAAGTTGCAGGTCTGAGAGCCTCTCATACTTCCCTCCTCACAGAAGAAGACAGCGGAGCAGACTGTGTGACGGGCACCAGCACCAGGCGCAGGTACGCTTCCCAATCATTCCTGAGCATTCAGGGCGGGAGGACAGCTCTGGCATCCACTGTTGTCCCAGAGAGCCAGGCAGACCTGATAGGTGGGCTCTAAGGGAAAGGAGGCTGGGGAAAGAGGTTCTATTGCCAAGGGTCCGTGGGGCCGGTGGGGTGACATCAGGAGCTGGCACTGCAGTATCAGAAGGATCCAGAACAGTAATGGCAGTGGCTGACACCGAATGCATCCTGGGTGCAGGTGTTGTGCATGCTTTAGGGAGTGCGCCCTGGGATGGAGCCTGGTTTCTCCTTCACTTGGGTCCAGTTCCTTTTCCTCATGATCCTGTAACTTGGGGGCATTTCCTTTTGGGAAGGAAGATGGTTTGCTCAAGATGAGCTATCATGATGGATCTATGCTTCCCTATGGAGGACAGGCCCTGCCAAGTGGTGGTGACAGTTAGCTGCTCCACCTGGCTGTGCTGGCCCTGAGGTCACCCAGCCTCCTGTAAAGGGGAGTGATGCAGAGCCCGCCTCCTGGGCCGATGGTGAGGCTTATGTGAAGCTCAACTAAACACTAAAGGACTCAGTCCAGTTCCCAGAACATTCCAAGTGCTAAAAAAAAATATCCACTGTGGTTAATGCCTCTCCCCTGCATTGGAGATGCCAGGTTTCATTTCCTTGCCGGGGAAAAGGGTCAGGAAATTTGACGTCTGCGTGTGTTTCCTTCCCCCAGGGATTTCCTAGCCAAGCAGTGGCCATCCCCATGCCTCTGACCTCCGCCGACCTCTGCCCACCATGGGCTGGAACTTAACTGTTACCTTCCCTCGCTCCACAGAAGAAGACAGCCAGCTGCAGGGGTCCCTGTGTTGGCCAAGCCAGTGAGCCTGCAGGGAGGCTGGTCTGAGGAGAAAGTGGACCAGCTCCCATGACCTCACCCCACTCCCCCAATACAGGACGCTTCGTATAGATATGTACAGTATATGTATTTTTGTAAGTGACCTCCTCTCCTTCCGCAGACCCCACAGGCCCAAAGGCTTCGGGACTTCCCACCACCTTGCTCCACAGATCCAGCTAGGCCTGACCTCTGCCTCATCCCATGCCACTCGGTCTTGGGCTGATCCCGAGGCTTTGTCTTCCTCTCATCAGTTCTTTTGGTTGTGTTTTCTGTTTTTTTTTTTTTTAACAACTCAAAAAAATAAAGACTTGGAGGAAGGGTGCAAGCTCCCAGTGCATCTGGGGCACACATTTCTCGGGACTGTCTTGCCGACACTCGGGATTCCTTCTTGCCTGCGTGTTGAGGCTGTGGGTGACTGTGGTTAGTGGGTCAGGCGGTGAGCTTAAGAGACGCAGTGAAGTGCCTGGGTGCCGAATTGGTGGGGAAGGCTTCCTGGATGAGGTGGCATCTAAACTAAAGGATGGTCATGGTTGATTTCCTGTTGCCAGAGTAAGTCATGCAAATACCCAAAGACAAGAAATGGAAGGGGCTGAGAATCCTTGAGTTAGGCCTCAAGCTAGGGGCAGGCTCCCTGGAGGTGCATGGTGAACAGCTGTGGCAGGCACAGCAGGTCTAGGAAAGTCGGAAGTGAGTTGCCCCTCACATCGAGCTCACCATGATTCTGTGGTGGTGAGGGCAAGAAGTGGATGAACATGAAAGACAGGATGATGCCTTGGGTGTGGACTGAGGGAGGGGAGGGGTAGCAAGGGAGGTGGTCTGCTGCTCCGGGCTGGAAATGCAGAAGCCCACTTCCCTGGGCCCAGAGCCATATGGAACACCAGGGGTCCTGGAGATGTCTCCAAAGCTTTTAGCCTCGTGCTGGAAACAGCCAGAGGCAGTGCAGAAAAGGAATGTGCGGCTGGAGGTGTCAGAGACCCAGGTTGGCATCCAGCTGCACCCTTGACTCGGGGCCCGGGGCCAGACCCTCCCCCGTCTGGCCTCTCCTGTGAAGCATGTTGCTCTAGAACAGAACTACAGAGTAGTGTCCTCATTGAGCCTTGTTTGACCCACAGCAAGACTTCAAAATTAAACACGGGGTGATTGCATGGCAGTTCTTGATTTCTGGCTCCTCTTAAAAAGACAACATCTGGCAATGGGGGCTGTGCTCCCTCCTGGCAGCAACCAGATAGAGCTGAGTAGCAGTCAGCCCCTTAGGTAGGGCATGGGCGCCCAGTCTTCCACAGTCCCCTACTTCCTGTCCATCCTGACACGGAGGCCCTGTTTTGGTTGCCATCTGTCATCACATTCGCACTGTTCTTAGTATAGAAATGAAATTGGGGACATAGGAAAATGAAAGCTGTACCAAGAAGAGCTTGTGCTTAAACTAGGCAAGAGCCTATTTCTTTTTGGAAGTAAAGAGTGTTCGTGTGTGTGAAACATGTTATCAAGTATGTCTGTGTCCAAAGACTGCAGGCCCCCCAGGCATCTCTGGGTTCCTTGGGCTGCATTCTCCCACCTAAGTGACTGGATTTAGCATCTTTAGTTACCTCTTTAGGATAAATGAACTAGATCCCAACAGAAGAGCCAGGAGCCAGAGTGTTCTACTTACTACCTTTTATTCTAACATGAACCATGGCCCTGAGAGCTCATAAAAGCTTGGCTGAGCAGAGAGAACTAGGGGTCAGCAGAAAGGATTATGGGTGGAAAATCTTGGCTCTTCCTTGGGGAGTGATGCTGGGGAAAGGGAAAAGAGTGGCTCAGCCTGCGGGTAAATAGGCTAGAAAAGCCGAGGCCAAAGGCCAGAGGGGAAAGGACAGTCAGCCTGTCCAGCCTGGGGGTAGGGTTATCCCTTCTTCCTGTGCCTTCCCACCTTGTCCATGAGCCCAGATATCAGAGCCTTGTGTTGGAGGCTGCCGTGATGTCAGGAATGGGGTTCCGTCTAGCTTTTGGCCACCTCCTGGGACCTCATGCCCCTGTTGACAGATGGAGTTGCGCAGCAGGGCCTTGCTGCATTGTTATCTGCTGTTCCGACTTGGTTTTTCGTTTCCAAGGGTGATGAAGAACCAGGCACCAGGGTCTCATGGGATGAGGTACAGGGTGGGAGATGGGGGAGGGGCTGGGGGCCGAAGGGAGCAAGAAAGCTGTAGCTGTGCGGGGCTGGCAGGATGTTGAAGACCGCCTCTGCTGCTTCACATGGGGACTGGAGAAAGAAGCAGCAGGTTGAGGTTGGGGTCACGCATTTGTTGTCCCTGCCCCTTCCTAACATCCTGGACCTGCAGAGCCGTTGAGGACTGCCCACCCTCCCCTGCCCCCTGCTTGGGTCCAAGTAATGACCATCATGGATTTGTATAACTCCCCACAGCCCCCCAACCCTGTTCCTCCATCTGTGAAATGGACATTCCAGGGATGTTGGAGAGTGGCCCAGCATCACACTCCTTCACCTGCCCACAAAGGAGCTGACCCCGCCGGGGATGAGCTGCTGGTGACCAGATGCCCCTCTGCAAGGCCTTTACCTGGGCCCAGATCCTGCTTGGTCACACCCAGCCCGGAAGACGGGTCCTCCAGTTCCAGTGACTCTGCAAAGGAGCAGCAAGTCCATTTGTCACTTGAAGTGCAGCCTACCTGACCCAAGACACCTGAGGGCAGTGCTTCCCACCTAGCCGCAGGCTTAGTGCCTGGGAAAGCAGGTGCCCAGGGAAGGACAGCTGCAAGCAGCAACGAAGAGGTATAATGGGGGCTTGAGTGAGAAGAGGGTGATGAAATGAGATGAGTGGGCCTGTAGGACTCCTGCTTGCTAGAGGATGGTGCATGGATGGATGAAATTCACAGATGAAAGGACTGGCAGATAAGTGAACAAATAGATGAGTGGATGTAAGAGGAGAGATGACAAATGGACAAATAGGAACACACAGATGGGTGGATGGATAAGGGGCTGGATGCATGACTACGTCACTGCCCCCAGGAACTGCCATCCCGGGTGTCCTGGCCCCATGAGCTTCAGAGGGGACCTCTTGCCCCTCAACCTTCCTAGTCCTTCCTGGTCCTCTGACACTGGCACAATGCGACTGCTTACCACTACAGTTCTGGTGCCCGCGGCTTCTGGTGTTGGGGACCTCCGTGCCGTTGGGGAAGACACACCAGCAATAGCCGGTGCTCCCATAGCACTGGAGCGGCAGATAGTTGCCGTTCTCGTCGCACTTGGGCCTGAATGTACCCGGGTGGACAGCAGGGATGCGGCTGACCTCTTCCTGGCACTTGGTCAGTACTGAAGCGACAGGCATGATGAGGACACAGTGAGTGAGTGAGCTCTGAACCAGGGTCTGAGCAAAGCTAGAGACCCACACACAACTGCTGTGGGCCTAATGCCTTCTTCCCAAGTGGCTTTACTCACTCCAGCCATCACACGGATGGGAAAACTGAGCCCTAGACCAACAAGGTCTGAGAGCAAAAAGGAAGTGAATGGCCATGTGTCCAGTTCACCTCAGAAGTTGATGGTTTCTTCTGACACTCAAAGCCCATTACAGTTTTGGGCCGGGCACAGTGGCTCATGCCTATAATCCCAGCACTTTGGGAGGCCGAGGTGGGCAGGTCACTTGAGGTCAGGAGTTCGAGACCAGCCTGGCCAACATGGTGAAACCCCGTCTCTACTAAAAATACAAAAATTAGCTGGGCGTGGTGGTGCATGCCTGTAATCCCAGCTACTCAGGAGGCTGAGGCAGGAGAATTGCTCGAACCCAGGAGGCTGAGGTTGCAGTGAGCTGAGATCGCACCGCTGCACTCCAGCCTGGGCGACAGAGCCAGACTCCATCTCAAAAAAAAAAAAAAAGACCATTACAGTTTGGAATTGCACTTCGATTCTGATTCTAGAGAAAAGCGATGGGCTCCTTGGTAAGTCTAAGCTTCCTGTTGCTGAGAGTTCCCAAGCAGAGAAATGGGGGTTACCGTGTGTTGGAGATGTCTTAGAGGGGTTTAAGCATCAGCTAGGAGTTGTTGGAGGTAGCATGGAAGGTGCCTTCTATGAATCTGATGCAGAAACTGAGGGCCTGGCCAGGGTGGCCCTTTGACCTTCTACTTCAAGACCCTGAATCCCAGAGGGGACATAGCAAATTAGAGACAACACCAGGATAGAAACAGCATTCTGGCTTTGGGGCTAAAAACATCCTAGTCTGCGTTGTCCATGAGGTGGGAAATGCCCAGAGCTCTCTTGGCAGCAGCTGTGACCTTGGCGCCCTCACTGGGTTGTGGGCAGCGCTGGGGCAAGGTCATTACAAGGATTCCTTCCTGCAGTGTTTCGGGCGGGTTCTGCCCCAGGCCCCCTGTGCTGTACCATCCTCCGTGAGAAAGGTCACCTGTACCCTGTGGTGACAGGCCTCTATGGGCCCTTAGGAACCCTTACACAAGATGGGGATGAGTCGGGGGCGGGGGACAGCCAAACCAAGAAGGAACAGACAGGAGAGAGAAGTGAGAGCTGAGAGGATGGGAGATTCCGCGGCGCTGGGACCAGGGAGTGCTGGAGGCCCCAGCCTCAGCAGCTCCAGGAGAGCCCCGAGGGTCGAGAAGCCCTCGCACCCTAAAGCTCCGACTCCCTGTACCTTTTGGTGGAGCCTCAGTGGGCTTTTGCTCCAAGGAGTGCTTGCTCATTTCAAACAAGAGCCAATGGTGCATCCAGCTCTCAAAGACCTAATAGGGATAGAGGTGGAGGTCAGGTTCAATAGCCACCACCAAGCCCCTACACTGCCTGGCTTTGCCCCTGGGGACAGAAACATGCAGGGCCAAATAGGGCCCCGACACCCGGGTCCAGCGGCAGCCTCTTAAAGGCCCATGGGGCTGAGCCCCACACACTGAAGCCTCCAGGTTTTGGAAGTGCTGGGAAACCCCTTCAGCTTCCTGAGAATGGCCTTCCCCGCCCACCCTCACCCCACCTCTCCCAGCCCTGCCCTAGACATTGGAGGAAAGAGTTCCCAAGCAGGGAAACCCGCTGACCTTCCAGTCCAAGGTCTCCATGGTGCTCTTAAGGTGTCTCAGGTTCTCCGGGAAGCTCCCCTTCAGCGGCGGGTACACCTTCAGGGGGTCAGCATTCTACAGGGTGGCAGAGCAGGAAGGATGGTTCAAAAAGGGCTCCCTGGCAGGCAGTGTGAAATGTGTAGCCCATGTTCCCTTGGTCTTCCATTCTGAGGAATGGACCAGAGCCGCACCAAGCCTAAACCCTGGACTTCAGCCATGATGGGAGGAGAGGGAAGGGGTAAGGGCAATCCAGCTGTTCAGCTACAAGACTGCAGGGTTGCGAGTCCAGTTCCAGACTCCAGGCAAGCTCTACCAACAAGCCCCAGTGTCCTCCCTGTGGATGGCTGCTCAGCTTTCAGGTCTCACCTGCTTCAGAAGGTGAGGACCCAACCTTGACTGCCCCCAGCTAGGCCGAGTCCTCTGCCTCTTTCTTCACAAAGCCCCCTGCACTTGTCATCACCTGGTCACTTGTCTGTCTCCCACACTAGCCTGGGATCCCCATGGCTTCAGGAGCTGGGTCCAATTGCTCCCCATTGTGGGCCCAGAGCCTTGCACAATGCTGGCACAGAATAGACATGCAGTACAAATTTGGGGAGGAAAAACCAAAACTACGGGTATCTTGAGCAAGTCACTTCCAAGCTTTGAGCCTCAGTTTCCTTTTTTATTTTTATTTTTATTTTTTTGAGATGGAGTCTCACTCTGTCACCCAGGCTAGAGTGCAATGGTGTGATGATCTCGACTCACTGCACTTCCCGGATTAAAGTGATTCTCCTGCCTTAACCTGAGTAGCTGGGATTACAAGTAACTGGGATTACAGGTGCCTGCCACCACGCCCGGCTAATTTTTGTATTTTTAGTATAGACTTTCACTATGTTGGCCAGGCTGGTCTCGAACCCCTGACCTCAGGTGATCCACCCACCTCGGCCTCCCAAAGTGCTGGGATTACAGTTATGAGCCACTGCGCCCAGCCGAGCCTGTTTATCTCTAAAATGCGGAGAGGCCGGACTACATATAACATTTAAGGGTCACCCTTGTATTCAGTAATCCGGAGAGTACATGTTGAAAATCTGCCATGAACCAGGTATACAGGCCTTGGAGCTCGACCTGGCCAGGGTCCTGGGTGGGCAGGCAGGGCCACCCGGCTAGCTCCCTGCATTCACCTGGAGCAGGTGCATCACATGGTCCTCCGTCATGTTGCCATACTTGGTGGCATTCTGCATGGGCTGTGGGAGGAAGGAACAGAAAGTTACCAGCGCTGGTCCCTGGAGCAGGGGGTGTGGAGCAGGAGCCAGTTGCTGGGATCTAGGTAAGAGACTGGAATCCCAGGCACTTGGTCAATGGTTCCATCTCTGCCACCTCCAAACACGAGAGCTCTAGCAACTCACTTTAGCTTTCTGCCTCAATGTCCTCATTGGTCAAACTGGCATAAGCTTTCCTGCCTAGGGTTTTGTCCACAGCACAGTATTGTGAATATAAATACTGTCAATGCATGATAGCAAGGTCTTTGAGAATGGGAGAGTACAGTAAGATACTATAGGAAATGAGAAGCACTTTGTAAACTGTAGAGGGCTGAGCCTTCCTCCCAGGGATGGTGCCAAGAGACTCTTCACCTGTGCCCTCCACACCTGGGAGCCCTATTCTTCCTGAGACAGGCACTGTGCCTCCCGCAGCAGTCAGGACCCCTCCCCAGCTGGGCTCTCCTCCCTGCCCCTTCCCTTGGCACTGTCCTCCATCCAGGTAGGATAACCTTGCCCCTCCCACCACCCTGGGGCTGTCCTTACCCCCTGGGCTCCCATGGGTAGCGCCTGCATCAGCAGCGGGGTTGCCATGCGCATCTTGCTCACAGGCTTGGGAGCTGTGGGGACAGGAACGAGGATAAGTGTGGCCCCGGTGCCCAGGGAGGAGGGTATCAGACCCAGATGAGGAAGGGCTGGAATTCCAAACCAGAGGGAGAGGACAGTGGACCCAGCTGGGTGCAGGGATGGGGGTCTCTGAGGTGAGCGACAGTGGGAGGTGGGGGGTGTCAGGACGTAGGGGTGCACGCACGCTTGGGAAGCTTCATGCGCAGGTTCTCCAGCTGCAGGTTCTGGGTGGTGACTGTCAGTTTGTCCAGCCGGCCCTGCTGCTGGTACAGGAAGTAGGCGGTGGTGGCCTGGCCAGCCAGAAGCAGAGTCACCAGGATGGAAAAGCCTGTGTACAGGGCTCCACGGCTGCACTTGCTGTGGGAGGTGGGGAGGATAGGTCAGAGGAGGATCCACAGTGGTTCTCCCCAAGGGCTGGCTAGGAATGGGGAAATGTATACCCCCATCTCTATCAGCCCCCTAAGCCACCCCTAACAAACAATGCACTTGAAGCACAAATAATAAGCTGGCTATGGAAATGCAGCTTGAAGACCTCGTCCTGCCCCTCCTTCCAACCATCGATGTGCCTGAAGTCCTCCCTGGCAGAGACCCTGCAGCTGCCACGGGCCTGACTTGAACAGAGAAGAGCAAAGAGGCATGCTCCTTGTCCTCTCTGGACCTTGGTGTCCTGCCTGTGCGATGAGGGGTTGAGGTGGGGGGGTTCTCCCCAGGCTCCCTTTGCCATGCAGATCTCCCGAGGATCGGGGCTGCCCTCAAGGGGAACGGGTTTGGTTTTTGTTTTGTTTTGTTTTGTTTTTCTGCTGGCAGGATCAACCAAGTATGTTATTTGTTTTAATTGACAAAAAAAAAAAAAAAAAGATTGTATGTGCTTACCAAGTAAAGGGAAGGGAGTTTTCACCCCTCTGCTCAACCTCCCACCCTCACAGTGAAATCAGATTTAAGGAGAAAAGGAAAGGAAGTGGGACCAGGACAGCAGAAAATGTGGCCCACCTGAGAAGAAGTGGGGCCTGGCCATTTTAGGAGTGGGTTGGGGGAGCCTTGGACAATGTCAGGCTGAAGCAGGGCCAGGAACCACCCACTCTGGGACCATCCTCTGCCCAGGCTCTCCATGTCTTTGAGCATGTCCCTGCCAGTCTCTGTGCCTCTGTTCCCTCATTTGTCACATAGGTGCCCCCACCTCTGCGATTCTAGAATTTGGTGGGTTTCTTCTTTTTTTTGTCTTTTTTTTTTTTTTTTCCTTTTTGTGGAGAACGGGGTCTCGCTGTATTACCCAGGCAGGTCTCGAACTCCTGGGCTCAAGCTATCCTCCCGCCTCTGCCTCCCTGAGAGCTGGGATTACAGGCGTGAGCCACCGCGCCCAGCGGGTTTCTTCTTTTAAGCAAGAACTCAATACAAGGGTCAAAGTATTTCAAATGGTAATATCCACCCTGCAGGGAATGGGCAGGAGTATAGGTGCCTAAGCCTGTGTGGCCTGGATGAATTTCTCATGCTCCCTAGACTCACCATCCAGACCCTCAGACCTCAGCGAGCCCTTGTATCTGTGGGCCTTGGATGCGATTTTGGGGGTGCATGCATATGTTACACTACAGGGGATGTAAGGATCCTGCCCCTGCACCCTGGGAGTTTCTGATCTGTTCTTTGACAACCCCAGGGGTGGGACTACTAGGACCCTAGTCTAGGTGTTGCCAACATGAAGGTGTTGGGAGGTGATCCGGCCACAAGGTCTTCTCCCTCATGAATGGGATTAGGTGCCCTGTAAGAGGGCTTGACGGAAGGAGTTGGTTCTGTCTTGCCCTTCTGCCTTCCACCATGTGAGGACACATCAAGGAAGCCCCTCACCAGGCTGGGCGTGGTGACTCATGCCTGTAATTCCAGCACTTTGGGAGGCCGAGGTGGGTGGATCACTTGCGGCCAGGAGTTCGAGACCAGTCTGGCCAACATGGCGAAATCCTGTCTACAAAAAATACAAAAAACTTAGCCAGGCATGGTGGTGTGCACCTCTAGTCCCAGCTAGTCGGGAGGCTGAGGTGGCAGAATTACTTGAACCCGGGAGGCGGGGAGGTTGCAGTGAGCTGAGATCGCGCCACTGCACTCCAGCCTGGGTGACAGAAGGAGACTCTGCCTCAAAGAAAAGAAAAGAAAAAAAAGAGGCCGGGCGTGGTGGCTCAAGCCTGTAATCCCAGCACTTTGGGAGGCCGAGACGGGTGGATCACAAGGTCAGGAGATCGAGACCATCCTGGCTAACACGGTGAAACCCCGTCTCTACTAAAAATACAAAAAATTAGCCGGGCATGGTGGCGGGCGCCTGTAGTCCCAGCTACTCAGGAGGCTGAGGCAGGAGAATGGCGTGAACCTGGGAGGCGGAGCTTGCAGTGAGCTGAGATCCGGCCACTGCACTCCAGCCTGGGCGACAGAGCAAGACTCCGTCTCAAAAAAAAAAAGAAAAGAAAGAGGGAGGGAGGGAAGGAAGGAAGGAAGGCAAGCAAGCTAGGCCGGGTGCGGTGGCTCACACCTGTAATCCCACTTTAGGAGGCAGAGACAGGCAGATCACCAGAGGTCAGGAGTTCGAGACCAGCCTGGCCAACATGGTGAAACCCTGACTCTACTAAAAATACAGAAGTTAGCCGGGCGTGGGCCAGGTGCGGTGGCTCACACCTGTAATCTCAGCACTTTGGGAGGCCAAGGCGGGTGGATCACCTGAGGACAAGAGTTCCAGGCCAGCCTGACCAACATTGGTGAAACCCCGTCTCTACCAAAAATACAAAAATTAGCCGGGCGTGGTGGTGAGCACCTGTAATCCCAGCTACTCGGGAGGCTGAGGCAGGAGAATCACTTGAACCTGGAAGGTGGAGGTTGCAGTGAGCTGAGATCATGTCATTGAACTCCAGCCTGGGCAACAGAGTGAGATTCCATCTCAAAAAAGAAAAATATATATGTGTGTGTGTGTATATATATAAAGTGAGCTGAGATTGTGCCAGTGCACTCCATCCTGGGGGATAGAGTGAGACTCTATCTCAAAAAACATAACAAAACAAAAACAAAAAAAAGAAAGCCGCTCCAGAACTGTGAGAAATAAATTTCTGGGTGTTTTTTGTTTGTTTGTTTGTTTGTTTGTTTGTTTGTTTTTGTAAATTACACAGTCTGTTGTATTCTGTTAAAGCGGCACAAAATGGACTAAGACAGACCCATTGCGGACTGCCAGGATGAGGCTGCACCCTGCCTACTCCAGCAACCAGCAAGGATGGTTTAGGAAGCTCCAGGAGTCCCTTCTGCCTAGTAACTGATGACATCACAGACTGGCTCATTCTCATTGGCTTACTGCGTGTCAGTCTGTGCTTTCTGGGGTAAGGCCCCGCCCAAGAGAGAGTTATTCTAGAAGGAAACAGCAAAAACCCGACACGGGGGGGAAAGTGGGGAGACCAGACAGGAAGGGAAAACAAATTCTACTTCTTGGCCTTACCAAGGAACAGAGGTAGCCTGGCCTGGGTTCAGGCTCTCCAGCCTCATCCTCCACCTGCTCAGTGCTTCTGCAACCCCACACCCAATTCTAGCCCCAGCTCTACCTCCCACACGCGACATGGGAAAGTACCTTCCCCTGTCTGCCCCACAGTTCCTCAGGAGGCCTAAGAATCTTGAGATTCACCCTGAAGACGAGACCACATAACCTGGATTGGAATCCTGGCTCTGGAGTCCGTTAGTTCTGGGACCATCTAAGTTGCTTTACCCTCTGTGTGAGTAAAATCGGGTAAAACATCTGCTCCAAGGCTGTTACGTTCAATAAGATGATGAGGGTAAAGCTCTTGGCTCCACACCTAGCACATTGTTAGCACTCTATAAATAAATTACACTCAGTGCGATTCTCAGGGAGTTTGTAGTTAAGTTTAGCATCTGCTTTTCTTCCTCTTTATGCATCTTGAACGCCTGTCCCCTGGTTCTGGTAGAGTGCCAACTCTTGTCACCCCCCCTCTTTATTTCCTCATTTATACTACCTTCTTCTGCAATTTAAAAAAAAAAATAAAATAAAAATAAAAGCCAAAGTCAGGAGCCAACCAGAGCTAGCAGGAATCATGACACAGATGTTGCCAGGCAGAAGCATTCAGAAAAGCCTCCAAAACAGGCTCCAGTCTGGAATGGCCTAAGCACACATGGCCAGCTTTAGAAGCAGTAACTGAATAAAGGGAAAACTAGGCAAGGATTAGACAAGGGGACATGCACTCTGAACACTGAGCCCAACTAGGTCTGTAAATCACTGAGTGGTTGGAGCTCAGAGGGGTCCCACCTCCCCTCCCCACAAAATGCACCTCTGAAAGGGGGCCAGATGGAGGAGTGAGCTCACACTTTGATGTCAGACTAGTCCTGGTTCAAATTCTGCCTCCAACCACTCACTAGCTATGATTTCTTGGGTAAGTCACTTACCAATGTGAGCCTCAATTTCCTCTTCTGTAAAAAGGGACAACAAAAGTACCTGATTCATAGGGTGACTGTAAGAATTAAAATTGAGTTTAGCCCTTACATATGTGCCCTGCAAATAATCATAGTACTAACTAACAGTGGCTGAGGCCTGGTGACAGGTACACAGTGGATGAGAACTATTGTGGCTATTATATTATTACTCAGACTCAGGGAGAGGCAGTGATTTATCCAAGGTCATGCGTGGCCTAGACCAGAATCCATTCCTCACAAAAGAGTCTGCCCTCCTTGCCATGGGATTCCCTGGGGTTTTCACGGGCCACAGCTCTAATGGTCTGCAGTGGGTTACCTTGTTCCCCAGAACATAGCTTGTCATAACATCTCTGCAGGGCTCTCCCAAACCCCTTTCTGCCTGGCAACAGCGGACATCACACCTAGCTGTAAGTCCCTGTAGATTGCAAATTACTTTTTGAATATTGGAGTAGCAGGGCCATTGGGGTAACAGCCTTCTAGCCCTTTTTGAGGGAAACACATGGGTGAGGCTATTTTGGGGCTGGGAAGTGGGACCTGGGGTCCTCTGGATGGCTGTGCTGGCCTCTGGCTGCAAGGGAGAGGGGCACAGGCAAGGACATCAACCCTGAGCCCCCTCCAGAAATTTAACCAAAGCCTGCCCCTCCTTTCTTGCCTGCCCCCAACATCTCACAATCCCCCCTGTGGTGGCAGAACGTCTCCATCTACTCTGTAGACACCTGCAACTATCATTCCCCTGATCCGTGGTAATTAGGAGGGAACTCCTCTGTGAAGAACTGCTTCTACCATCCTCTTTTAGAAACTCTGTTTCTCCACTGGGATCTTGAACATTTTCAAAATCTGGTCCAAGGTCTTTATTTTTATTTTATTTTATTTTATTTTATTTATTTATTTTTTTGAGACAGAGTGTCACTCTGTTGCCCAGGGTGGGGTACAGTGGCACGATCTTGGCTCACTGTAACCTCTGCCTCCCAGGTTCAAGTAATTCTCATGCCTCAACGTCCCAAGTAGCTGGGACTACAGGTGTATACCACCATGCCTGGCTAATTTTTGTATTTTTAGTAGAGACAGGGTTTCAACATGTTGGCCAGGCTGGTCTGGAACTCCTGGCCTCAGCTAATCTGCCTGCCTCAACCTCCCAAAGTGCTGGGATTACAGGCGAGAGCCGCCATGTGCAGCCTGGTCCAAGGCCTTTAACCTAGCATTCACAGCCCAGCTTCAGTGGGGTCTCAAAGCCCCTGGATAGCATGTGAAACTCTAGGGAGAGAACCCAGGCTCTCTTCTGCTTTTCAGAAGGAGGGGGTCTGATGCAAGGAAAGTTACAAACTCTTGCTCTTAAAGGAACCCCTTCATTTGACAAGAGAGGGAGCCGGAGCCCAAAGCAGGCCAAAGACTTGCTCAAAATCACCCAAAAAGTCAATGTTAGAGTCAGAGCCTGAATCCCTCTTTCCTGTGACTCCCAGCCAGTGCTTCTTCCCAGCACATGCGCACAGCTCTGCAGTCCAGGATTTGTGTGCCCTTTCCTGGTGCTCACACGTACCTCTCCGGGGTTCCAGGGCGCCGGCCCAGCATGGGCAGTTGCTCATTGTTGGAGATCAGGTCGCGCTGGTCATCCATGACTGGCTTCTGATCTTCCTGACAGCTCCTCCTGCTGCTCCTGTACATCTGGGACCCTGAACCCCTGGCTCACCTCTTAAAGTTGGTGCTGGAGAGGAATCTGATTCGTCCACAGGAGGCCACTCCGCCCACTTGGTAGATGTGGAAGTGAAAGCTACAAAGGCTGGAAATACCCCATTTTGGTGAAGCTGCCTTTTGAGGGGCAGGATATGGGGCGGGGGGGCTCCCCAGGCAGGTAGAAAGGCCAACACGATCCCATTGGCTGTCCAGGGCCCTCATCACTTGTTTCTGGGCAGGCCTTTGGATTCATAAGGCTCTTTGAATGTTTGAAGAAACAGGCATATGTCCACTCCCTAGACAGGAAAGCACTTTGAATCAGAAGACACCTTTGTTTGTCTCCCCTTCTCACCCACAGATGAGTGGGTGCAGAAAGGGGCTGTACACCTTCAGAGAGCTCAGACAAGTCCTCTTCTCTGGCCTCCATTATGTCGTCTCAAACATGCGGGAGGAAGTTTGGACTACCTGCAGGGGTGAAAACATTTCTTTTCTTTCCCTGTTTAGGTTCTTAAGTTGAGATACTCCCCTGAAAACAAAAGTCAAGTTAACAAAAGAAAAACCAGCCAAAGTTTATTAACACATGCTGAACCCATTATGCAGTAGCGGCCTCAGTTGAGAAGTATTTCTCTCTCAAGGCAGTGGTTTAGAGGCCTTGCTTAAATAGTATTTTAACAAAGAGCCATAAGTCCCATAGAGTGACAGGACAGAGAAGAGGGTATCTTCAGGGTTCCAAAGGGCTGGAAGTGTAGGAAGATAAATGTGTGGAAAGAGTCAAGTCTGATCCAGGATCCTCTGAGCTCTGCTTCTGAACTGATCAAGGCAGAGAGGAGGGGCAGAGGGTACTCCTGGGTTTTAACCTTTTACCTTTAACTAAAATCCACAGGGCTTTAAAGAAGAATATTTGGGTTTCCTTCAAACCTGACAGTCCATGGTTTTAAGGCTCCGGCACTCAGACTTTCCTCCACTTACTAAGGCTTCCTTCGTGCCAGGCACATTGTCCATGCTTTGTTTCCTGTGATCTTTACAGAGGCCCTTTGAGGAGGGTTTCATCATCTCCATTTACAGATAGGGACACGGGGGCTGTTGTACAGGATCACATCTCCAGAAAGTGGTGGAGCCTGCGTTTTTAACCACTGTACCCTTCTGCCTCCTTGTGTGGTTCAGATCCAGGAGAATGGGGGCCTGTGCTGGGAGGCAAGAGGGCCTGGGAAAGGGTGCCTGGGGGGGATGGGACTGTGTTGACAAGGCTCCTGCGCTGTGACATAGTGAAAAACGTCTCTGGTCTCTGTCCCTGGTTCCGGACGCAAGGACCACTAAGAACCATAGAATCTCCAGAATAAGGCTGGGTGTGGTGGCTCACACCTGTAATCCCAGCACTTTGGGAGTCTGAGGGTAGAAGATCACTTGAGATCAGGAGTTCGAGACTTGCCTGGTCAACATGGTGAAACCCTGTCTCTACAAAAAATATAAAAATTAGCCAGGTGTGGTGGCACATGCCTGTAATCCCAGCTACTTGGGAGGCTGAGGCAGGGGAATTGCTTGAACCTGGGAGGTGGAGGCTGCAGTGAGCCCAGAATGCACCACCGCACTCCAGCCTGGGTGACAGAGCAAGACTCTGTCTGAAAAACAGAAACAAGCAAACAAACAAAAAAAAGACCAGACATGGTGGCTTACACCTGTAATCCCAGCACTTTGGGAGGTCGAGGCAGGTGTATCACGAGGTCAGGAGCTCGAGACCAGCCTGGCCAACATAGTGAAAGCCCGCTACTAAAAACACAAAAATTAGCCGGACATGTTGGTGTGTGCCTGTAGTTGCAGCTACTCAAGAAATTGAGGCAGGAGAGTCGCTTGAACCCTGGAGGCGGAGGTGTGAGATGGCGCCACTGCACTTCAGCCTGGGCAACAGAGCGAGACTCCGTCTCAAAAATAAAGTATCCCCAGAGTGAGAACAATGTCTTTTTTTATATATTCAGGAAATGCTGGTGACTGAAAGGCCCTAGATTGCTTCAGATGGGGGCTGGGTGCCATGTGAGGAGAGGGTTGGGACTTTCACACCTCACCCCCCCCCCCCCCACCCCCACCTCCAGAGAGGAGAGAGGGGTTGGAGGCTGAGCTCAATCCGTGGTGTAAGCAACCATGTCTACATAATGGAACTTGCATAAAATCCCAAACAACTAGGTTTGGAGAGCTTTCAAGTAGACGAACACATCCCTGTGCCAGGAGGGTGGTGCACCCCGACTCCACAAGGACAGGGACAGAGAGGCTCCTGTGTTCAGGACCCCTCCCGCAAGCTGTACACTATGGACCTCTTCATCAGCTGCTCGTCTGTATCCTTTATAATAAACTGGTAATAGTAAGTAAAGTGCTTCTCAGTTCTGTGAGCCATTATAGCCATTTGTCAAGTATGAAGAGGGAGTTGTGGGAACTCCCAATTTGTAGCCAAGTCATCAGAAGTACTGGAGGCCCGGGACTTGCGTTTGGCATCTGAAGTGGATGAGTCTTGTCTGACTGAGCCCTCAACCTATGGATTCAGATGCTAACCCCAGGTAGATAGTGTCTGAATGGAATTGAATTGTAGGATGCCCAGCTGGTGTCCAGAGAGTTAGAACATTGGTTTTTGGTGTAGAAAAAATCCACACATTTGGTGTCAGAAGTGCTGTGAGTGTAGCAAAACAAGTTTCCTTTCATATGCCGTATTTGTTTTATTAATCTTTATGTATTGCGTGTGCTTTACAATTTGCATTAATAGATTTTTTTTGTAAATTAAGACTTTGTGGTTCGAAGGTTCAATGAGACTTGGATTTCAAGAGTCAAAGGAGATAGTATATGTATTTTGGGAGGAGAGAGAAGAGCAGACATGGCCTTTGACGTGGCCAGACCTGAGTTCAAATCCCAAGTCAGAAACATCCTAGGCATGTGAGTCCCTGAGCCAGTCCCTCAACCTTTCTTTCTTTCTCTTTTTTTTTTTTTTTTTAAGACGGAGTCTGGCTCTGTTGCCCAGGCTGGAGTACAGTGGCATGATCTTGGCTCACTGCAAGCTCCACCTCCCGGATTCACACCATCCTCCTGCCTCAGCCTCCCGAGTAGCTGGGACTACAGGTGCCCGCCACCACCCCAGCTAAATTTTTGTATTTTTAGTAGAGACGGTGTTTCACTGTGTTAGCCAGGATGGTCTCGATCTCCTGACCTCGTGATCCACCCGCCTCAGCCTCCCAAAGTGCTGGGATTACAGGCGTGAGCCACCATGCCTAGCCCCTCAACCTTTCTGATTTTGCTTTCTGCTTTGTAATGTAGGGATGGTAATACTAGCCTTGCAGAGTTGTTAGACTAAATAAGCATTTAGCCAGAGCCTCGCACCATAGAAGATGCTGAAGATATGAAACTGGATGGAACTGGAGACATTTTGTAAGTGAAATAAGCCAGGAACAGAAAGTTAAACACAGAATGTTCTAACTCATATGTGGAAGCTAAAATAAGTTCAACTTATAGAAGTGAAAAGTAGAACAGAGGATACTAGAGGCTGCGAAGGGTAGGGGGAAGGGAGGAATGGGGATGCAAAAGGATACAAAATTGCACCTAAATAGAAGGGCTAAGTTTGTTCTATACCCCTGTGGGATGGCTATAGTTAACAATAATATACAGTTTCAAATAGCTGTGAGACAGAGCAGGGGACCTTCTTAGGGGCTGGCCAAGCACCCCACCAACATAAAAATAGAGAAAAACATAGGCCAGAAATGGTGGCTCACACCTGTAATACCAACACTTTAGCAGGTCCAGGGTGGGAGGACCGCTTGAGGCCAGAGTTCAAGACCAGCCTGGGCAACATAGTGAGACCCCGTCTCCACAAAAATTTTTCTAAAATTAGCCAGGCATGGTGGCATGTGCCTGTAGTCCCAGCTACTCAGGAGGCTGAGGCAGGGGGATCCCTGGAGGCTTGAGTGTCCAGGCTGCAGTGAGGTGCGGTGATGCCACTGTACTACAGCTTGGGTGACAGAGTAAGACCACCTCTAAAGAGAAAAAAAAAAAAAAGAAGAGAAAAGAAAAAGAAACTTAAGTTTCTTCAAAAGTATTTCGGGCACCTAGCTAGCCTTGAGAAGTAAATGAGCAACCTGATAAACAAAAATGTAATACTAACTTAAGACAATAGCCAAAACAGTTAGAATCACCGGGTATTTGGCTCCCTATAAAAACTAAAGATAACATCTTAGGCTGGGCGCGGTGGCTCAAGCCTGTAATCCCAGCACTTTGGGAGGCCGAGACGGGCGAATCACGAGGTCAGGAGATCGAGACCATCCTGGCTAACACGGTGAAACCCCGTCTCTACTAAAAAATACAAAAAACTAGCCGGGCGAGGTGGCAGGCGTCTGTAGTCCCAGCTACACGGGAGGCTGAGGCAGGAGAATGGCGTAAACCCGGGAGGCGGAGCTTGCAGTGAGCTGAGATCCGGCCACTGCACTCCAGCCTGGGCGACAGAGCGAGACTCCGTCTCAAAAAAAAAAAAAAAAAACTAAAGATAACATCTTAACTTATGTCCCTGCATTGCTTTTCATAAACCCAGACCGCCACCAAACAGATCCACTGGCACATAGATCTCAGACAAGGGGGAGCAGAGGAATAAACTCTAACCACCAGTCTTTGCACTAAATTTCTTCCTCTCACACCTGTAATCTCAGCACTTTGGGAGGCCAAGGTGGAAGGATTGCTTGAGGCCAGAAAGTTCAAGACCAGCCTGGGCAACAAAGCACAACCTCCATTTCTACAAAAACAAAACAAAACAAAATTTAATTAGCCAGGTGTGGCAGCACATATCTGTAGTCCCAGCTAGATGGGAGACTGAGGCAGAAGGATCACTTGAGCCCAGGAGTTTGAGGCTGCAGTTAGCACTGATTGCTCCACTAAACTCCAGTCTGGGTGACAAAGTGAGCCCCTGTCTCAACAAATAATAAATTTTAAAAATTAAAAATAAATACATTTCTTTCTGAGGGGCCTGGAAGAGGTCATGCACACAGGCCAGAGCTAACATTCATTTTTTCTGACCCCAAATGTTTAGACAAAGGTTCATGTCCTTAACCAATGACAAATGAGAAAATCTTTAAATCCACCCATGACCTGTGGACCCCCACTTCAAGATGTCCCACCTTTTTTTTCTTTTTTCTTTTTCTTTTTTGAGGCA